AAATAACTGTATCACGCAATCAAACACTTTGTGTCCCGAATCATCACAAAATATGTCAATTATACCAAAATTTCTACATTTTAGGCCATTTTTTAAAAACCATCAAAAACCTGGGTGAAATTTTAACTTTTTCGGTGAAAGGAATGCAGTCCAGTAAAATTCCAATGTCATTTGATATAAAAAATACAAAAAAGAATACTTTCCCTACACTTTTAAAAAAATTGATGGAATTCAACTTTTGCTCGGAATGGCCCTTATGCATCTCGCACAGTATTATAGTTAGTTGACTAATTTCGAAATGAAGTTGAAACTGAATTTCCATATGCCGTGATTAGCGATGCCGATTAGAAATCTTAATGGCCTTGTTAGAAGCGAGTTGGTCTATAATAAAGAAACTAAAGGACAAGATAGTGAGCCGAGCGCAACGGATTTCCATTAAGAAAAAGATCAATGTCATATGCGTGAATAATGACGTTTAATTATCGACGAAATGACGTTTTCGTTGGGGGGTAATTATACCACTTGGAAAATTAATTTAATAAATAAAAGTTTTTGCGACCTCTGTAATATATGAAGGCATAATTACCAAGACCGCACAGACGCGACTGCGACAAACAGGCCTTTGTTCAGTACTTTTTTCTTAGAGATTCTGTTGTTCAACATAGGAACTGATGCGGATCAAGCATGGGCACTTTTTTAAAAATTATACAAATCACCCGATGCATTACTGTATTTAAAATAATATTCAGTTAAAAGTATGTTGGTTTTCCATGGGACCAACTGCTTATCCTTCTATTGCAAGAGTATAGAAGATAAATGTTCTTATTGCAGATTCTGTCTGCACACTAAAAAAGTATTCTTAGAAAATCTGACTTAACGGAAAAAAACTGTTGAATCCCCTAAAACATTTTAACTTGAAATTTGAAAGAGATCTAATTGCTTAATTGGGTACTCCCGTAGTATGTCTACCAGGTTAGGGTTAGGCCATAAATTTATTCCGATTTTCCTATTTTAGTTCTATTACGAGTTCGGGAACTGTCTGTAGTAGCCAAGTGAATATACCCCCTGACGATAGGTTTCAGTCCTTTCACACAACTTGATGTAAAATAGGGCAAACAAAATTAGTTACCTCCATATTGGTACACACACTTCTGGAGCGCCCTTAATTGTTGTTTATATGTGTTAGTCGTAAATTGGCAATACTCACAAAACAGGTATTTCCCGACATATACCGAGGAAGAAATGTTCCATTTATACTCACAGCTCGGCGGCTGCAATTTAATAAAATAAATTGTAAATGAAAAATCCATGTATATGCATTCATCTTTGCAGTGGTATTTCTGCTGCTTTCGCCATAAAATATTTTAAATTGATGCCTGATTATGTAAAGTTTTCATTATGCAATATAGATAATACTTTTCTTATGATCAGCAGGATGCCAGAAGTTGTTTTAAATCCCACACTGTGCAGAACCATCGGATGCTACATGATTTATCAATTTAAAATGAAATGTTTATATATCTAAATTTAAATTAATATTTTTAAAAATTCCACTGAACTTGATGCCTTTACAAATCAACCTCATTTATATTATACTACCATACATAACGAGTCTGACAAAACTCGTTATTGCTGTACTAAAATAAACTTTTTACTTCTTATGTCTGATTTCACTTTGTTTCTGAGACTTTTTAAACAAAACACTGGCAGAGTTATTCTGTTGTATCTTAGACGTCCTTATTTCAACTTCTAATACCACAAAAATATCAACAATTTCCAACATGGTAATGAGCCGCGTGCGTCACTTAGAGCGTATTTTGCGGTCAGCAATTTATAATTTACTTTTGAAATGAGGTTTCTATTACATTTATTATTGATACGATAAAATATTATACTATTTCTCAAGTATATTCATACATACATTTAAATGATAAAACTGAATACTTAATCAAATATCTACGATATAATATGTGCATTTGTATTTAATATTGGAAGGATAACTTTAATACCGTATAAAGCGAATTAACAGGGAGGGTAGTAACCTAAACCGGTTTGACGTAAAATATCTTAATAATAAAAAATAAACGGAAAATATTTTGGCACACAGAGTAAAATAAGATATAAACATAACAGATATAATTACCTTCAGTGAATACCATGCCGCGGTCACGCCTTCGGGATTTGATATTGCAACATGTCTGCTCTATGAACGATTTTCACTTTTTTTTATTTTAGTAGTCTACTGTGGTTTTTAAATGAAACTGTTTTATTTTATTAACATTTAGGAATATAATGCTTTTAAGAAAAATAGCGAATACGTTTACTCCTCCAAATAAAGATCACATCCAATCTCATCGATATTCGCCATTTTTGAAATTGAACATTCTTGTACATTTACGAAAAAGCATGGATAAGATCCCACAACACACACATGAAACCAGATACATAAATTCACCTAATAGTCAAATAAACAACCTTCTTTTCACATTTTAACAACAAGTACATGGTATTTCAATAATTATTTCTCAGCTGTTCGGCATGTGCCTACGTTTTGCTCACTAAACAAGAATGAAAATATTCTGTAATGGTAATGATAAAAATTATAGCAATAAGATTTATCTTCGATGTTATCTAACCTTGTGTTGTATTATAAACACGCGATCAAGGCCTAGTGTTATATTTCATTTAGTATATATATATCACTATAGACAACGATTATTTTCAGGGGATTGTGCACAGATGGTTGCCATGCATCATCGTCACCTATTCCCCTACCCAATTTAGACGCGTTTTTCCTTTTCTGGGGTTTACATTTCAAAATTATTCGCCTTTAAGTGGTAGCTCTATTACTATTTATTTTTTAGTTAATTTTTAGACTTTATGTCACCGTTAAAGTTTAATCACAAACTCTGTTTTATTCGTATAAGATAAAAATGTAATGTCGGTAAAATTTGAAGAATTGCAAAAAAATACTTTTCTAATTATAAAATGTGTTTTGTAATCTTGTACTGATATTCTCGGCCATATAATCCCGATTAGTGTTCATATACACATTATTATCGCAAAACAAAAATAATAAAGTTGAACAACTTTAATTTTGGTAATATTGCGTCCACGCTAGAATATGTTAAACCGATCTTCGGTTCAATTTCTTGCTTAACTTCTTCCTTTTATCAAAATTATATTTTTATTCTATTTTCCTGTCTATTTTCCATCTAAGACTATAACCTTACACGAATCTATAATCCATGCTGAACAATAAATGATTAAAAATATGTGAGATTCATATGTCTCTGGGGGCGTGTACACCATCTGCGCATGCGTTTCCATTAGATACAATATTTTTTTGCGATTACGCAAGACTCTGAACCCGGAAACGAACGTCCTACCTACATGCGAGGACCATAAAAGTTTGATTCTAATTTGAAATAAAGTTTAAATTATTATAATACCACTCCCTGTCTCATATTTATCCCTTTTCTATGTGCCTAATTTTTATGCCCGCAAACGTCTTTGCAATCTATATCATTTTTTGCAGCTTGTTCTGTATTTTTATTACACATGATGTATCGATATTTTATATCATGCCATTTTGAGATTACGTCGATCATAAACCTCTAGAAGATTGTGCATATCTAATTACAGCATTCCAGTAAATTCTAAGTAATTTTTCGCTTTTTTGAACGCGCGACTTAAGAAACGAAGATTAAAAACCGATGTCACGAAATGAGGCAGGCATTTATGATACGCGGTGCATTAGAACCATTTGCAGTACATATAGTATCTCTAATACGGATTTATTATTCAGGCTTTTGAATGATATTGCTAATATTTTTGTCAAAAAAACAACTAAAGTATTTTATTCACGAACTTTAATTTTTTGATTTACATTTTGTTTTTGTCGTGAACGGGTAGACCTTGTCATGTCGCTAAATTTAAGTTCGAGTACATGTACGGACGACATAGACCAGCTTGAGCGTGGCGTATATGCCGCATATTTTGTTCGCAAAATCTGTCGCTGTTTAGACCTGCCAATCGTGAAGCACGGAACGCATCCTAGCTGGGCTGCAATCATTTTTAACGATTTATATGACTCTAATGGCTATTTTGTGACACTTTTATTCGTTGAAATTTGCGTGTTTGGATTGCAAAAAATTGTAAATGCTGACCTAATCTATCAGAAAAACTACATCGTTTTACAGCAAGAAACATACATCACATGAATCCATAAATCCCATTTCTAATATACTATCGCATTGTCAATTTGTCCTAAGATATATGGATTGCAGGGTATTTAACAGAGGCCCTTTCAAAAATTTTCTCTTATCGCAGAGAAGGTCATAGTTGATGCCGTATATTTGATATCTGTCTATTGCCTAACTTGAATGTTTGCATTTCTAAACCAAGTGGACAAATCTCCCTCTTATTATGAACAAAACAATCATCCATTCCCTACACCACATTCTCAATACAAAATGCACAAAACTCGTATGCTGTAACAGTTGCCCTTCGACTCTTATAAATTCATATTCACCATATATCACATACGTTTGAAAATTCCTTATGTCTTTTCTAGTATTTCAGTTCTACTGCTAACAAGAAATATATCACACCGTCAAAATTGTAACACTTTAACAACACAAAACACATATGGAATGGTTGTAACAATTATGACAATATACAAAATATAGTAATTGTTATATACATATGGGTATTATATACCTAAAGTCCTGTCGCAATATTTATCTGCAAACATATTGATATCATAAAACACATGAAATAATTCTTTGTTTTTCCCCTTAGCAATTAATCCACTTGCCACTGAAATATTTTTAAATTTATCCATTTTTTCAGCTCACTGTTATTCTACTAGGTTTCTTCATTGAAGAAATATAAAATAGGATTAAAGTATCAACTAAGCATTAGCTGAATCAACTCATATTGTGAATGAATATTATATATATTTCTATATAAGTTTGTAAATTATTTGTTGTTTTCAGTGACTGAAGACGGACCTGGTCAAATTGAAGGTAATCCATTGAGAGATTTGTGGAAGCTTGCTAGTTGGTCAATATCTCAAGATGTAAGTTATCAATCATATTTACATGTCTAAATTCTTTTATGCCTAATTTATCCAACCACATGTCTGAACGTATTCTTCGTCTGAATGTCCATATTTCAGTCCTATTTCATGCTTCTGTATCATTTATCAAAGGCATAAAATTTCCACAGGGATTGGCGGAACTATACAAACCCTTACTTTAGGTTTAAAATGGATTCGATCAAATCGACTTTAATAAAGCAATTGTGAATGTTTTATTTTGGATTTTAGGTCGGTTGGTTTAAATTGATATGGATTGCATCAAAAACTGTTTTAGAATAGATAGATATTCCTCTAGTTACTTTAGTATCATTTTTATAAATAATCTGGCAGTGTTGCCAGAGCATTGTGGCCGAACTGTGCCAAGTTTAAACAGAAGTTGTTTATTTATGCTATTGTTTATTAATATCCTTCAATTAAAAATTTTCCGGTATTGGACTAGATTTATTATTCTCACAAATTCAATGTTGATAGTTGATTAATTTTCATATTACATCTATATCTTGCGGCCCACACTGGATTCATCCACATCCAACTGTCATAATTTTGTTATTTCCTCCTGTCTTCTTGCAATCACATTTTTTTACAATTCAGGAAACTGTTCATACTTTCGAAAGAGCGATATATGGATCACTATGTGGGAACCTAAAAGCGGTGAGACATAGTTTTATAATATCCGATGCCTTCTAATTTAATGTTTTTATTTTTGCTTTATATCCCAAGTATGAGCTAGTAAGATATGTAACGATTTGTATAAAAATGTAATGATTTATCTCAGTAGTATAATATAATATATAATATAGCCAATAGTATAATAATATTAATTTATTACCAATATTAGAAAATTTGAAATAAATCATATATGAATCACTCTTTAAGATTACTATGTAAATAGTGAATTACTTTGTGTACCTAATTTAACATTAAAAATCTCTCACTTAACCATTACTGAAATATAAGAATTCAGGAGTGATCTGTGTCTTCCAATCCCCTCTATTTCATCAAAACATCCATTAGAATTATTCTATAGCTAAACACTGTTATATTTCTTTATAGCATGAGGTAACCTTCATACCATATTAAAAAAGTTCTCATGTGGTTCAGTCAAGTTTTGTAGATAATGTGTACATTAGTCCGTGGAAGCTCCCATTATCCAAACTCTGTGTATGAAATCGGGGAAAATTCATGAACTTTAATCTATACAGTTTGTATTAATAATAATCAAAATGAATTGTACTAAAACAAACAAAATGTTATACATATAGACATAATACCTTACTTTTGGCAAATATATGTTTTCAATAAGGATTCAAAGGAATAATTTGTGTTTGACGCAACACCCAAAGTCTATTAACATATTTATTGTTATATTGAAATACACTAATTGTCTGCGTAAATGTGATTCACAATGAACAATACAGGAAGGAAAATGTGTTTCATATCTCACGTCAATACCAACTAATTCATTATTTTAAAAAATCTAAGAATTCTGTTCGTTTTAACTTAACTATTAGTCAAATTGAAATTATTTTTTTACGTTTCATCATCTACTCATTTCACACATTACAAATTAATTTTGGTCAGCAACATTAGTGAACATTGACTCACAGTTAAAATAGTCTGTGTCTTCTGAAATACAAACGTTAATTTTTTTATCACTCAACTTTTTACTTCTTCCAAAACATATTTTCAAAGGTTCTATTTGTAAAGAATCAATATACAAACAATGAAATTTTCAAGTACATCTTATCCATTATAATTATTGCATTTGCAGTCAATTCGCTAACCTAAATCTCATTTTTGCTCTATAGCTAACCACAACTTCAAAAGTATTCGGTCCAATCATTAAATTTTAGTTTTTGAAAGATAGCAAATGGAAACGGTTTACTTTTATTTTTTTATATATTTTTCCTCCAACTGGTAATTAGAGAATTAAACACTATAAATCTGTCTCATGCCACACGCTCAATTATAAATCAGATCAGAATATGTAACATAAAGAAAACAAGAAAAATGACGTTTTTCAAAGTTTATTCCATGATATCAAAAATGTTTATTAAGTCAAATCATTTTTTGTTTTCTTTGGCACAACGTCAATAAATGTGAGAAGTATGTGGTGCTTTGACGTTAAAAGTGATATTTTTCACCACACATTTTTGTATGTGAATATTTGTTTTATAACAAACAATGCATACAACTCCACTATAATTTTTACCTACAAATACAAATGTCAAAAAGTCGTTGTGTTTAGATAATGCAAATATATTTTCTTGATGTCATGGTTAATCTGCGTGGTGTAATTTTGTTGTGTTTGGTTCAATAGAAACTATGATATTGTAATATTTTTCCGGCCTATTCAATGTAATTAAAAAGTATTTGTGGTGTATTTTATCACAGGTTAATTGAAAGTTCATTTACGAGTATATGCTGATGTTGCATAAAGCATCAGATTGCAGAAAAAGATTTGAGCATGGGCATTTGTAACTACAATCCATGCTACTTGAAGTCATAGATATTACATTCACTCCGAAATTTCACATCCTTGCAAATAGACTAATGAACCCGAATCTCACTAGATCATGTTTCTTGTGCTTTTCCCTGTAAAAATTCCGCAGTTGTGCATAATATCTGTCCTAAATGTAATTGCATTCTTTGAATTCAAGAAGTTTGTCATCCTTCCCATTTTGCACAGCAATAATTTTTACGAGTTCAAATTCTTGTCTCATAATATGTATGCACATGTTTGTTCTGTATTTTTCTGTAATAATTAACCAGATCTATTATATATCATATTATAAAATATAATAGAGGTTAAATCATATCATACATATTTAAGCATATTCATATGTATGTTTAAGTGTGGGTCATAGAAGGATCAAGTAAATATATAATGAGCAGACCTGATTTGAGTATAAATTTAACTAGACTTAAAATCAACACTTAGCAATGTATGTGTGGTAAGCATGGTTTGATCTTAATTTTGAAGTTTTAGACTCACTTTTATAATACTCATTTATTACTGAATAACAACTGCTACCTTCAAGTATCATCTTGTCATTGGTGACTTTGCAAAATATAATCATTCTACCCATTAAGGTCTTACTCTTGAGTGCAAGGTCCACCATAATGTTGACATATCTAAAGATTTACTATATAGTTAGTTTAGATAACCTATACAATGTCTACATACCTTACATATTTCAAGTAAGATAAAATGTACGGGTCATGTGTCACCCTTCGTTTGTTCAGACTGTAAAGCTGACAAAAGTTCTATAGATTGTGATTCATTTAATAAATGAACCTTCTTTCATTTTGTTTAACTTGGCAGTTTGCTTCTTGTGGTAAGCATTAGTATCATACTTGCAGTGTATCTGCTGCTTACCCACCACAAATTTCATATGTAAGAATATTTGGGCTGATTGTGTGCAAAATAGACTCTATAAGCACAACGCAGTCTGCCATTCTCTGGAAGATAAGGTTTCCTCTACCAAACTCCATGACACAGATATCAAACATACTGATTGAAACTAAGCATTTACAACAGTGCTTGGAGCATCGTGCTTTAAGCGCTAGGAATAAGCTAGCAAATGCAACTCTGATTACAGACGTGGTTTTGTAGATCTCCGACTGAGAGGTCCGTATGCCATTTGATTAGGTCGTCTTCTAGGTTCACCTATTCCCTTGGATAAATATGTCTAATCCTATTCTCTGTCTGAGCATGAAAAGTCTGATAATCAAGATTATGTTTCATCTATAGATGGTCAATGTATGCAAATCATGGGAAGATTATCTCTGGGCTCATTTCAAAACTATGATAGACACCGTGGTTGAGCATGATCTGCGACATTCTCCTACTCTTGTGGAGAGAGTCCGTCCTGAGTGTGCTGGGGGACTTGTCACTCTTCCAGAGTCATACTGGGAACAGAGAGTTGCCCTTTCCTCTTCAAAGCAGATTTTTGAGCGAATACAGGCTATTTCAAATGAGGTGAGATTTTAATAGGTGTACGTTGGAAAACCTGTATGGACTGTCGGACCTTTGTCATATTTACTATGACAATTTTTGATTTGAGGATGAAGGGGTGGCTAAATTTAATATTCTAAATAATGTTTTGCATTTTTAGGCCGCACGCCAAGAGGGTGAATTTCCATTTCATTTAGTTCAAAAATATGTCATTCTTGAAGATATTACTGGATTGATCGATGCATGTCATTCATGGGTAACTGAGTCCATGGAAGATGACACAGAAAGCAATGTATCTAATGTTCATCCTCAATTATTAAGATTTCTCTGCCATTTAATCTTGTTTTTACGGACAATTGGAGTTTCAATGAATGTAAGTTTAAAGATTTTGCATAGTTTATCAAGTAGTAAAACTCAAGTGATTGCCATCTGATGACATTATTATGACACTCATATATTGTGCTACAATTTTATTTATCGAAATGTGAAAATGATGTCATTCTTTTTTGAAAGATGTCATGACTTTTCAATTATTTCCATTCATTTTGAATCCCCTTTTTCACATGCTGAAATTATTTTTTTCCCAAAACCGCATTTTCACATGAAATATTGAACACTGGTCATTCAAAATGATGCCATAAAAAAGGTTATTGGTAATAAAAATTGTTGGAAGGAATGAATCTAGAGCATGCTTGTTCTTCGAGTTAATCAATTTTATTCATTATTTGTGAACAACAGGAATCGAAATGTGAAGTAATTCTAGAAGCGTTCGTTCGATATCTTGCTTCTGAAGAAAAGTCTTTCCACTTAGTTGCAAATTATACAGCTGCCTTGCGATCAGAAAAACAGATCGAGGTTTATTCCGACTTTCTGAAAACTATTGAAGATAAGGAGCGGAGACAAGAATATTTGAAGATGGCTCATGAAGCTGGTATCATTATATTTGTATTTACGAGTAGTTCATATGTTTTGATTTTATGTTGCTGTTCTTGTATTTTACTATGGAAAAACTTGAGAGCATAGTCAAAATTTTAGATTTTTCCCTGGGTTCCCTTTTATTTTTTCCTCAAATCTTGTGAACATAATTGCACCAACATGTAGATTTCCCTTTCATCACATTGCCTTTTGACTCATTTCAGTGTCAGCGAATGACCTCTATGCTATTCCAATACCGAGATTTTATTCATACCATCATTTTGTGTCACTTTGGCATGCTGAAAATGAATGAAAGGCTTTTTAAAACTTGTAATAATATTATGAATGAATATCATGTGTGCACAGCAAGTCAATCCAAATTTAAAATTGATTTGAATTGAATACCCCCATCTCTCATGGTTTGAAATGCGTCACATTATTGGCGTATTTCCCTATGATATGCTCCGTTACAACATCACCCGCTAATTACACTCTTCATTTTGTCACAGGACTCGATATACCAACAATTACAAAAACAGTTGTGGAGGATATTAGACAGCAAGGAGATGAAGATGTGACTATTTTAACACATTCCATTGTTGGTGGTGGTGATATCACAATGTCCAATGAAACCTTTGACCCGACCTTTGAACCTCCTATGACCCGAGATGATTGGAGGAAAATTGAAGCATTAGAATGGCTTGTGTTTGATGAATCACAAAGGGCAGAAGCAGTGAAACAGTGCAACGCACTTATGAGAACTTTTCTTGGTATGCTAAATGATTGCGCAGCTTGTTTTAGTATTTATTTACAAATATCTTTTAAAATATATCTGAAATAAATTTCATGGTTGCTGCAATAGTAATATAATGATGATTGGAAAATCTTTGCATTGTAAGCATTTTCCATGTTAATTTTATACGGTACTTTAGTGGTTGACTGTAACTCCTCTCAAAAATCAATCATCTTATATATTTCTGAGTGAGTGAGTTTTACCTCGCTTTGGACAAATTCCTCAGTAAAAAAAATTTATAGGGACATAAAAATTATTTTCTCTTGAAGCTGCTAGAAAGTTCACTGCAGCAAAAGAAGTTTTTCAAAAAATTCCTGAAGGATCCATTGAAGTGATTCACCGTCAGTGGAAAGAAAAGGTAATACAAAATGTTTTACTGTTTCTCGTTGTTTAAAAACTATAAAGTATGCCTTTTACCATTTAAAAATTTTCATTATAGGTCCCAGGATCTACCCCACTCCCACCAGATGATGAAAATGCAATTAGAGAATATGTTTGTATGCAGGTATATTGTGTTTATTGTCCTAGAAATTTCATTTATTGCAAAGTCATGAGTACTCGCTTGATAGCAGATACTAGCATAATGAGAGCTACATAGCTATTCATTATCAATAAATATCATTTGTTGCAAATTCATGTGCAACAATTCATTGTGAATGAATTTCATTCATTGCAAACTCACGAGTACCTGCTTGATGGCAGATACTGGCATAATGAGAGCTACATAGCAATTTATTATGAATTCTATCCTAATTACAAACAGCATTGTAAGTTGAAAAAATTGCATCAGAACAGAGTTCATTATAGAAGCTTTACATTCGACTTGTAAAATAGTGTGATTTCATGTGAAATGATGAAGTGCATTAGTCGTATGGTGAATCGTAATCATCCTGGAATGCTTCGGGAATAAATAACTAGTTCGTCGTTCTAAAAGCAGGCGCAAACCCAGGGGTTACAGCCAGCAGTAACAAGCTTCACCATTCTCCATACACATCATTCTTGAAATTGAACAAGTTTTCTACCTGAAATGTCATTTTTGGTGCACCAACAATTTTGACATTGCAGTAAACTTCACTTTTTCACTGAGACTTGAGACTTGACTAACGATTTAGTCAGTAAACCTGCTATTTTGTGAATATATCATATGAAGGCAATTTTTATTTCAGGCATATCTTTCTGCAAAGCAATCATTTATGGATTGGTTCAAATATTATCATCACAATAAACCAGTAGCACCTCGTGACAGCCAAACTGGAAATGATAAAAGATTCCCGAATAGAGTTGCGAAAGGTCACAGGTAAGTGGCGTCAACCGAGGTGAAAGTTTGACTCATCAATGGTTTTGATGTTATTAATTTTCACACACATTTTCAAGAAGTATTTAAAATAAAATATTTTAATATCAGGGAAGACAAATATCAAGAGGAATTAATCAGATGGAATGAAACTTGTAAGAAGATGTGTATGACCTTACGTGACAGGATTTATAATGTTTTATTGCTCCCTAATGGTGGATGGTTAATTGATATTCAGCAGGTAAAGATTTATTTTGAATTGCACAAGTAGGATATCATATTTATCCTGTGTGAGAAGAAAGTCAATGAGATGGTTCATTCATATAGTGAACCACGGATCCTCATCCTATCGCATATCCATGGTTGGCATGGTTGGAGTAGTTACCGGTAACCAGTTGTTTCAGATGCATGGGCTGAGTACTGAGTTATCTGTTGGGTCTGGCAGCTTTCCATATGTTCTCTGTTGCAGTTGACTGCTTATATTGTGAAAACCCACTGTCTTGTTTTATTTAGAAAGCACAAAACAGTTTGTATTTTGTGATCAAATTATAACTTTATCATCAGATGGAAGATAACGACAACACCAGACGACGTCAGCACCAACTTGATGTTTTGCGCCATTTATGCCTGCCTGCTCTCTGTCATCTTCTCGTCACAGCTTTGAAAAATACCCCTGATATGAAGGAAGAATGCCTTCATCTTGCAGATGCCATAGCTGATGAGGAATATAATGTTTATGAGGTAGAGCATAGGTTTTCAAACTTTTGGTGTTATGAAGCCCGTGATGAGGTTGACTATTATTTACGGAACCCCACCTAGGGATGGGCAATGTAGAATAATTTACTATTCTAGAATATTCTAGAATAGTTAAATCGAATCCAGAATACCGAATCCTATTCTATTTTCATACTTATTCAAATAGTGGGAATTTCCACATTGCTGGATTTAGATGTTAAAAAATTGCAAATGTATTACTTACTATAGGTGACCGTACATTTGAACCCACGTACATTTGAACCCATGCGTATATCCACGGGTTCAATCTATATGCGGGTGCTAAAACCCATGGGTTAGGGTTAGTATGGGTTTAACTATCCGTGAAACAAACAAAAAAATTCATAGGTGCAATAGCATACAGGTGCAATTGTCATGGGTTCAAATGTACGTGGGTTCAAATGTAATGGAACCGTATTATTTATTTGGAAATGTCCTGAACATTGGATTTCATTTGATACTAAACAGGCAGTTCCCAGGACAATAAAATTTAGGAATATCACAATATTTTTTGCCTTCAATTGTTCCAAATGTATGTAATCCCTAAATACTAATAAATACTGATATGTTAAATTAAGACACGCTTTAATAGTAAGTGGGTAAATACAAAGATAGACATGAAACGGCTTTAAATCATTATTAATGTAAGTCTGTCGAGTGTACTAAAACATACGGGATGAATTAATTAGATGCAGAACCATCGTGTGGCCGCTGCAACCTATGCGCCGTTGTAAAATATTAAATTTAACCACTATCAATTAAAATCAACTTTTTATTCTGTGCGAGCAAGACACGTAAAACCAAGTTCCCGTAAACGCGATTTCGTACTTAGTTATTAGGTAATAACATCTAAAGAAGAATTCATTAATTAATTAATGATGCTTATTGTTGATATTTGATAGAAGATTTGAATGGTATTACAGGTCTTCACAAAGGAAGAAGGAAGAAAATTAATGTCAAGAATTCAAGACATTGCAGTTGATTTATTGTAATTTTGCTATTGCTTTACTGCCAAATTTAAAACCACAATTTTCTGCCATTTTCATACACTTTCGATTTATAATATAAACTGATAAACACCGGCTTCGTACATGATTCAGTTATTGTATATTTGTAGTAAAGTTCCAACGCGGAAAAAGTCAAGTCTAGGTTTAAGTTTTAGTATGATGTTCTCGTCTGTGTGAAAAAAAGCAAAAGGATGCTAAACCATGCAATAAGCCATGACATTGGGCCGGGTAGCCAATTCAGATTTGCAAGTGGAAGTGGTCTTTTAACTAACTTTCTGTGAAATAAATGCAATATTCTTGAACTTCTAAAATAATATACCTCGCGATTTGCACAATATTTCTGGAGTTTGAGTTCAGACATTTTTCTGAAACTCCTAATATATACTTCCGGCTTGCGCGATTTGTTCCGGTGGGAGATATCAAATATTATTGGGTGTGATGTAGTTCCGAAGTCTACTCCTAATTATACAACAGTTGTCCTATGAAGAACTTGTTCAAAATAAGCTACGGAGATTTTTTTGTCGAGGCTTCTGTCTGATATGTGCCAACTCGGCATAGCCATAGTGGATGGGACAGTATTTCTGGCAGCAGCAATTAAAGTTATTCTACGGTGCCAGAGAAGAGCAGCTGTGGCAGATTCAATCGCCCGGGAAATTGGAGAAACGCTTCAGTTCTTCCGCACATAACCGCATTAATCCATTTTATGAAACCATTTGTGATGCGCCAATGGAATATTCAGAGGAACTACCATGCGCTGAGCAGCACATACTGTGGCCTACTTTGCAAACCAACAGTTGAGACAGACAAGGTCCTATCCATTACACGCCAGACCTCAGATGTTAACAGTCTCCGGTCCCATTTACCTTAAAGCAGTAAGAATAATCTGATCTTTGGTTGTCATGTCAATAATTTTCGTTACAATGACTTGCAACCCTCTAACGATATACTGAATACTTTCTATAACAGGGTTTCCCAAACTTTCTGTTCAATGGTGCCGTTTGGAGAATTTACAGAGTAATTTTAGCAACAAGTTCATTAATATGTAGTGAAACATTAACAACAGCTCCACGTAAATCATGCTCAGGTGTTTTGAGGTGTTATATCTATTTTGATTTAATTTCCCGAAGCACTGAAAATTTTGAATTACACAACTATGGAAACAACGACCATGTGTGAATAGAAAGTTCCGCAATCCTTTTGTACATTGTATACTAAAAATCACTGAGATATCTATCAGAGTAGTCTACACATCGCGAGCAAAGCCATCATGCTGAAGTTTCCAACTATTTCCTCTTGCATTTCTGCCCCAACTTGTGTCTGAGTGTTCGCAGTGAAAGGATTCCTAATGTATGCAAATTCGACATCACCAAGACTTGGAAAAGAGCCGTCAGTTTTCTTGTTCCAACTTTATAAAGTGTACAATGGCCAATTCCCCTCGGACCTTGCGATCTCAAATTCGGAATTTTGAAGAAAATATTTTCCATTCATATATATTAGAAGTTTTGCCAGAAATGCTTCAACCTCAGCTACAACCACATACACTGCTAGGTATTTTCCTTGTAACTTTCGTTGAGCATATTCTCAATATCGAAAATATCGACAAGGTAAGTGAGGACTGAAATAATAATATTAATCCACAGGAAAATGAAAGAAAATTTGATTGTTGGAAAAATCCCAGCATCTCCCTACGAAGCTTATATACAAGTTTTGTAACATTTACCGTAATCGCTTGCCTAAATAAGCAGTTGTTTAATAAGCAGGGACGACCGTATTGTATTTCTAGCTATTGTAACAATCAAACAGATGTTTTGTCTAAATCGTTATACCTTATCTATCTTATGCACCCGGAAGTCGAAACGCACCACGAAGGGTACGTGTACCCCAGTTTGGTAACCCCTGGTCTATACCTTAGTCCGACTTCAAATCTCAATAAAGAAATGCATAAAATATGCACAAAGTTTTAACTACAGTAGGCCTACACTCCCGTTAGTTTTATTTAGTATATTATGCTCTGCTTATATATCATTGCCGCCTTCGATAACCCTTTTCAAAGGCAAGGGTTGGAAGGATCTATGATAGCACAGTTGAAGTATTGGAAAAGATTCCACAATTTCATTCAGTCATAAAGCAGAGTCTATAATGAAGCCAAGTTAAAGGAAAGAATGGGATTTGTATGAATTGGACTACCTTTGCATCATTGTGCATGTTGGCAGCCCCTCATTAGGTTTTTACTTGACATTTGTACTGAATATGTTAGAAGTACTGCACATTTCGAAGCGAATAGTAAATTATTCGAATCGGTTAAAATAATAATTTCGATTTAAAGCCATCTTTGTCTTTTTTTGTGCACCAAAGGTCGAGCTGAATCCTAAATTTTTCGTTTGCGAATCCGCTTCCCGTTGAACATTTCGATCACTGTTTTTCTCTCAATTCTGAGCTGACAGTTGCATCTTAACAAATTGTTTCTGTAGAAGCTGAACCTTCAATTTTATCAGCTCATCAATCGACGATAATCATCAGCTTTGCCTTCGATTCGTCAGAGTCCTTTGACAGTGCAGACACCGAGGTTCTAACAATTGCCAATAAAGTGAACAATTTTTTACTTGGTATTGGTACATCACTAATAAAATTGACATAGTTAAGGAAATTGCTCTGATGCATCGTGATGAATTAGAAACTGCATATCTTTAGTCTGGCGAGTGGCGACACAAGGGATGAGCCTGCGCGGCTATCAAAATTATATAAACATTTTATTCTCTCAGATAATTATGCATATCTCTGCTAAACAATTTTTAACAGTGAAAGGCAGCCACTAAAACAGCACATCCGTCGATGACAATGGAGATAAGATGTTATATTCTCAGTCTGGCCGATGTTTCTACTTTCAGCGTATTTTTAGATTCGACTAATAGTCCAATCCCATATTCTTTAAAAATTGAAGTGAGAAGTTGTGCGATTTCAGTGACGTTGTTCACATGTTTAGAAAAGCGCATGAGAACCTCTGCAGTGAAAATATTCATCAATCCTTTTTTGTCTCGAATAGCACCAGGTGGGCAAATAATCAACCCTTATTTTTACGTATGGCACTTCCATTACATGTATATTACCAAACTCCCGATATCAATTGTTCTTTTTGTGAAGTTGTGTTAATGTTTCTTTTTTCATAATGCTATACAAATCTGCCAAAAGTTTGTGACAATTAGCCTATTCAGGGGTGGGCAACCCCTGGCACGCGTGCCATACTTGGCACGGGAGCCCATCAATTCGGCACGCGAGCGAGGCCTCGGAAACGAGATCATTTTCCTTCAGTTAAAAAGTTTCAAGACTCTGAATTATCTGATGAAACAACGTGTTCGTTTATTCATTATTGTTTGTTAACAATCAGTTATTTATTTGAACACTTTTTATCCTTTCATGACATATGGCTAGAAAGTAATATACTATGACGAAACAAATGAGTGAGCTCTCGCGAAATTTTGTCGAGAAGAGCGCAGCATTCACTTGGCTACGTTCTTACGTAATATAGTTCATATGTGTCACCCTTTTTCGTCATTTCTGCTTGATTTATGAAGTTGTACAGCTCATTTCGGTTATAGTTACTTGCTAACTTACTGGTAAAAATTAATTTCGAAAGAAAGATAAGCGATAAAGAAAAGGAATACAAGAGAGAAGCGCAGAAAACGAACTATTGCGTGATTGGGATGACATTCCCGACAATTTTTCGTGTCTCAAAAACTTTGCAACTGCATTACTGTCCATTTTTTCATCTACAAATGAAATCTCTGTTCTTAGTTATGAACCTTATTAAGTCTCGTAACAGGAGTAGCCTGAAAGATGAAACCAGTGGTTCGTGTATTACTTTGAAAGTTACAAAATATAAACCCAATGTGAAATCTCTATTAGCAGCAGAAGTCTCACTGATATAGAATAAGAAAAGTAATCAAATTTATTTGTCGGATGGATATTTACCAATAGTGAATCTGTCTGTACACGGTTCAAGGTTGAATTATTGTGTATTTTTGCTCTGAATATAGCAAAGCATTGTTTTTAATTTTGGCCGGCACGCGGAAAAATTTTGTCGTTAAATTTAACCGATTTTGGTACGCAAGACGAAAAAGGTTGCCCACCCCCGGGCCCTATATTATGCAAACTGTGCGCTCACGTTTTCAATGTTTCTTTTCGAGCGTTATTCCAATTATACCGATTTTACTGTACCATATTTCATGAACGTAGTTTCAATGGCCATGTCCGTTAAAATTCCAATGAATGAAAAAAGCGTGACATGGCCGTTAGTACTCATGTGACCTAATTAATTAAGGTTTTGAATCTTTGAAAAGAACTTCAAGAGCGAATAGTTCCATTGTACATTTCTTACTGTTTACAATATTGCCGATTGATGCTGCTGGCAATAAACAATGGTTCTGACAATGTTTTCGACATCCACTTTAATGTTTTTTTCTTTGCTTATGCATGTTCTATAAATCGATTTATCGTGAACAAAGTCGCACGATGAATGTGTTGGTCGACATTAATACGCGGGCCATAGGCATTTTTCTATCTGTTTGCAACTCACACATCGTGAGCAAGAGCGCTGCAATGTCATCGTCATGTGTATCAATCATCATAGTCGCGACGTAAATCCCCGGGGTTTGACTTGGATATATATACATCTCATTGACCTTGAAGCCGAAGATCGGTGACGTAAATGGCACAAGAAACCCATGGCACATAATTATTTTTCTCGAAATTCGAACCTATAGCAAGTGTGTACCTCACTCTTGCATGGTGTGACAACAACCGGGTTTTGCATTAAGAAAGCAACATATGTACAACAGTCTCAAAGACACAAACTTAGGATAAAATGACCCTATTCCTAGCGCTGTTCTCCCAGACGCCCTCGTTTCACAGAGCCTCCCTAGCCACAACCAATGAGTATAATTTATATATATGTGTTATTCTCATTGCCACAACTGAGCCGGCATTGTCGTTTTTTTTTATCTTTTTATTATGTATTGTCTGTCCATCTCTTGTTTTTATGCATTGTATATAGTAGGCCTATATACTACTGATTGTTTGTTGCGATTCAGATTTTTATAATCCATATATATAGATTATAGAACTTCCAAGTGTCTGAAAAATAACGACACACATACTACAAACAAAAGACAATTACGGCCAGAGGATGTGTGGACTTCTCGTATTCGCAGGATGCTTCACTTTGAACCGCCATCCCGGTCCTTGTAGCCTATATCAAACAATATCTACTTGCTACTTCGCCACGGGATTACACCGTCTCGTGGGATTTTTTAGCCCAGAATAAATATTGACATCCTAATTCCACCCCTCATGTGATTTAGAAGCTCCAATTTGTGGGTTGTCTCACTAACGGATGCTGGCGTCTTACTTCCCGTTGTGCAGTTTTTCTTGGTCCATTCTTTTTTACACTTCATTGTTGGCCAAGTAAATCCAAACGCGCTATTTTAAAACTTTCTGGCATTATGAGCAATCCGGATTGGCCAACACTTCGGATATTGATCAAAACTAATATTATGCCAAAAACTGTCTTCAAATAGCATTGACGCGGCGCAGGTTTTGCGTTCTACGAAGGAAGAATGTAGCTGTAGGAAAGTTTCCTTTTAACTTCTTTGGTATATGAAAGTCACATCTGAACAAATGGCGATTCTATGAATATTGCGAGTCGCTACCACGAAGCAAATCCTATTCCAGTGACTTTCTACTAATTCCGAACACTTTTTATGAAACAAGTCGTTTGCGGAACACTAAACTTTTTTTGGAAATAAGCGATCTAATTAAATTATAATAATATCAATTCTCATATCGATACAGTTTTGTCATAGCAGACAACCAATAGCGGATCGAATAACCTTGGATAAAGAACTAATAACTGCAATTTCAGGGTTACAAAGAGTTGAAGAACAAATGAAATTTTACCTAATAAAACTGTTTGATTGATCGATCACAACAAAAAGTAACGAAATAATGTGCGTCGATTCCACGACGTTGAGCAATGTTGAATAACTACCCATTACTGACAAATCTTAAATGCTAACTGAATTCTTATATTGTCGTAAAGTCACAAAATGGAAAAATAAGATTTCAGAGTTTACTGTTGATTCTCATTATCAGGACTCGCGTTAAAACCAAGTACATGATTATTGATTTTTAATGTGTTATCATGAAATACGCCAGCTAATCAGTAAAAAATGTAAAACAAAATTGACGCGTCACAACTCAAATCGTAACATTTATTTGTTATTCATTCATATTTTGTTTGTGAATTTATTATCGATCAATCGATCGCAAGGTATTACGAAGATTTTAGTCATCTCAGTCGAAGACAGGCTGGTGATATACTAAGTCAATAGTAGATAAACGCCTGTTATAGAAACCTCTGTCCTTACAGGCTTCAGGTAAAGTCGATTCATTGAAGAGTTATAATCACAGAGTAAACACGGATACACATAGCGACAACACAGTGTTTTCTATGTGTAATTATATCAGAAAAGTATAAAGCATGAATAGTTTAATTTCAATAGGAGAGTGTTGGATCGTCGTCGTACGTGTTTTCTGTCAAATCCATGACCTGATAACTCTGATAACATTTGAGATAACTGCAGATTTATTAGGTTTTCATCTCGGCAAAAGGGCATTTGACGAACTCCGTATACTTTCAAATGAACTCAAGTTTCACATGCTCTTCATAGGTTGTCAGTAGTTTTCATATTCCCATATTAATATGCTACTGATATTATCACCGTCGCTGTCCTGCCATTTGTTGAACCATTTCCGGATGCATCATCCCACCTTGCGGTTGCTGTTGTGACAATGTTGCAGGGCTTTGAGGAATATTAACACCAGAGTTACTAGCAGGGCCCCTATCATTGATAGTATTTTGCAAGTTTCTCAAATTATCTTGCCAAGATTTCACTCTATTCATATGTGCACGAATTGTTATCTCACGACGTCCGATTTCTTCTTTTAGTTCCTCTATTTCCTCCTGAAGTAAAGAAATTTGAGATATGTTATGGAAACATAATTAACACTCTGTTAATGTATCACACGAATCTTTAAGTTAAGTTTCTAACTCCAGATAATACCATTAAGTTGAAATGAAATCTTTATCTGACACAAGAGTAGAATAATATAACTTCTGTAGAAAAACTTGATCAAATTATAAAGAAGGTTCTACTTGTAGTATAAGTTCAGGTTGTTGCTGTGCCACCATTGCATGCTTCTTGAGAAAGTAAGCTTCAACACGACGAGCTTGTTCAGTGAATTGTTGAATTGAATGATCCATACTTGATCTTAGCTTGTCTGGTGTAACTGGCATACTACCAAGATTATCACTGCCTGTATAGCAATTAATAAAATAATGTGAAAAAATCTGATGCATACTCATGGTATTTCGAAAACACAAGTTAAGTTATCAGTAGTTAAATAAAAATATAGAAGAATAACACTATTCATTACCCGGAATCAGAGGTGCTATGCAACTTTGAAATGCAGCTTCAAAATCATCAATCATTGTTCTCTCAGGAGTTGATTGAGGTAAATTTGCATAACTCTGCACCAAATAAAAATATGATTCTAATATTGAAAATAGTTAAATATAGCATAAGATGATTGAAAAAACATTCTGTATCGCAGAGACGAATCTGGTGAATTGTGTCCATGTGCATAGGACTAAAGAGAAGAATTGGATTGTAAACGTCCTTACCAACGACAGTACAATACAATGAGTAAAAGATGAGTGACTACACATAAGGGCCTATTTGTGAAATTGACTTGAATAGTTGGAGATTTAGAAAAAAAATCTTTTTCTTGATTAATTTTAAGTTAATTTAGTCACTAAAAAGGGTGCTCCAGAAGTATGCGCACCAAGATGTCGCACAACCTGAATCCTAACCGGTACACACATACTATGTTCAGGTTGTGTGTCATCTTGGTGCGCATACTTCTGGAGGTCCCTAAAAAGTTATTTAAAATAGGTTTTTATTAATTTCTTTCAGTTTTTTAATGTAGAATACAAGGAACACATCTCTGGAATTTTAAAAACCATTAAAAAATAACTCCAGAATATGATGTGATGAAATTTTCACACTTTTTTTTCATATCACAAAAACCTGATTTTGGAAAAATACCCCTCCCATTTTCACAACAAGGTGGGAACAAAACAAGTTTTGTGTCACGCAGTGTAATCGTTGGTGATTTCAAAAGAATATTTCAATAACATGGAAGTTGCACATGCAGAAAACATCTCGAAGTCCAAACTTTAACGAAATACTAGCATAATAGACAATCACTGACGAAGATATCAATGAGTTATTGTACCAAACTAAGTAAATGCTGATGTACTTACAACTGCCTGGGAAAAGATTGATTGGGTTGTTACTGCATTATGACTACCCTTATATATGTTTTAACGTCACTGCGATCCAAAGGCTGATTAAGCACTTTCCTGTCTGTGTGGATAATTATGTGTGAGAATATTGCTGGAATTCTCTTTGAAGAGCATTCACACAGCCTCTGGCGCTAACAGCGTACTCCACCATACAACTGTGCAAAAGCACAAATCTAATATTATCCCAGTACCGTATCTGTAGATAGATAAGATTTATGTACAAGCGGATAAGACTACTTAGTCATGTGGCGAACACGGCATCACATGGGGTTACCAGTCCATGTCGGGTATGTGATTAGTTAGACAGTTGTTTTTGTTTTTAGTTGCGTGAACTTAATGGTGGAGGAATCGACCAGTTGTCACTGAAAACCACCCTACAGCGGCAGTAATCACCCTACAGTTTTGGGGTCAGCAATCCTATCGCACACAATTATCCCCCACAGAATTCGCACTTGTGACTAATGTAGGGTAATCAGAGGTGCTGTGGCAAGCCTATTCGTGTATTTCTAACTGTTAGCATGATCCAGTCACAAGGATTATATAACTCTTACATATGTAGAGAGAAAGAGTTCATTATTTTTGTCATCCAAAATACAAATAAACTAAATATTAAAATAATAGATCACACAGTACTTATTTTGGTATGAACTGGGAGATGGTGATACGACCAAAGGTCAACTAAGTCAGCCATTACCCATTCCGGCTCCGCGGTGTGGCAAGTCAGTGAGATATTCTATAGCAAGTGATGAACCAATAATTATTGTGGCAAAGTCTTAGCTCGAATTGACAAAGACAAATCGAGATATCACTATTTAAAATCTGAGTGTGGCGGTAATATTATAATACTGTAATAGCTGAATAGGGTCATTGACGTTTCAAGCAAAGCAATTTTGCAATTAGTACGCTAGAATCCGAAAATTAGTTGAAAAATCAGGATGAACAAAATGATCACCTCATGGACAATCTGGAAAAATACGAAAATTCTATGATATAAGAAAGAAGTGAAATAACACCACTCTCACCATACCGGCATCATAATTCCACCAGGTCCCTGGTTCAAATTTTTTGATCCCAGCATCTGTTGTAAACTTGGCCCTTGTTGGGACATTGCAGGCGGTCCTTGCGGATTATAATGTGGTGGTTGAGCCATTTGAAATCTCGACAAATAAGATCCAAGAGAAACGTCAATAGGCAAGGCAACCATAAATTTCAGAATCTGAAGATCAAATACTGAAATAATATTGAAAGAAATTCCGGGAATCCCCTTTGAATTCATGTGATTCAGTCGCTGTAGCGAATAGTTTACGCAATTGTGATGGTCACTAATATTGCATAGGTGCCAGACTTTGATTAGTTTTTTTTCACTAATTCCTAACGAGTGTCATAGTTTCACGCTTAAATTTTGTATTAATTAGTAAATCTTGAAAAAATTTTTTTTCATTAATTAATCAACAGTTTGGTAAAGAACTTTGTTTTTGTTAGTTCCATTTTAATATCTAGACAACGAAGACAGTTCTGGCATACGGTAATTGTTGTGAGCATTTCGGTGCAGCAAAACAGAATTGTTGTGAACTATTTAGCAGACAGTCAATTGCGTTAAAGCCTCCACAGGCAGCTCAACGCTCAAGGTAAGCCCATTTTTATTGATTTTATAGAGTAGAGAAAGATTATATTTTTGGTCGACTAAAATAAAACAACTGAGCAACGGTCATCATAATAATAAAAAGATAATATCAATCAATCAATACTTATACTTACTTTATATCAATCAATCAATACTTATACTTACTTTATTTCTGTCACTCTGAAAGAAACAAAACAACAACAAACGGACAAACAAAATGCAGAGGACCTAGAGGACGGGCATACCGGTAACTTAATAAAAAAAGTTAAAAACGTGCTGGTACAAGTACCGCCCCCCAAAAACAGTTGAAAGAGCACAATAGAACAAAAACACGATGTAAAATCGGGCAATACCGGTACCTTTTAAGTCAATTTGCTTTACCTACAAAAATATGGAATAAACAATCAGGACAGAAGATTGTTGCGTAATATTGTAATTGTAATACATCTATTATGTCAATAAATCAGTACAGGGCAATTCCATGGAAATCGGGACAAATTAGAAAAAAATAAAAGTGATCAATCCTGCATAAACAACCAAAATTTTCATAGATTATATCTTGGAGTTTTGTGAACGCAATTTATAACAAACCTACAGGGACAAATAAAAATGTGACAGTCATGGAGAGTTAGTGATGCATAAGTCATTGAAACAATATTGGGGTTATAGCCTTAATGACGTAAATTATTTGATATGTTGGAGTGGCATAACCATTCCCAAAAACAATTCAATTTTGTATAATACTATTTCTTGGCATCATTAGCCGCAATCTACTGGTAACAATTTAAATGTAACGAAAGTAATGTTTTTTTGGCATTTTTTTATTTATCTAAAAAAATACCGTAATTCTTTTTTTAGCAATACACCATCTTCCTGTAGATAGCTACACATACAATATGTGCACATTTTTATTTCTCATGGTTGTTTAAAGTTTTCAATATTCAATGTTAAATCGTGTAACGCAAGTAACAATGTAACGTAAGTAACGATAGTAACGCAAGTAACGAAACAAGAGAAATGAAAATTTAATAAATCAAAAAGGTTTTAACAATAAAAGATATAGGTTTTGGATATTTAGTTTTTATTTACCTCAGTTAATTTAAACATTGACCGATCAATCCTACTTTTTGCCATAACAATAGCACACTTTAAAGAGGTAATGAATATTGGAATTGCCATAGTTAAGGATAATTTTGAGATTAATGGAATTTTTGGGAAGATGTTAGTCATTTACTTTGATGTAAAACAATGGCCAATGGAAAATTTGCAAATCAATTTGGCAAATTATATTCTTATGAACATATCACTTGAACAATGTAACAGAAATAAGTTATTCTAAAGATATTCAATACCTCATCATATCTGGCAAGCCCCAAATTGCAACTGTTGTGTGTGAGTGAGGTAGTGCTGTACAGCATTGCTCGAATTGTTTTGGCGAATATTATATAATTAAGCAATGTAAATTTAATGTGATTGAATGTTAACTTTTGAATAAATATAACATGTTCCAAAAAAAAAAAAACAGAACCCGTTTTTAACGTAACACAAGTAAGAAGTAAAGGCCCATTTTTACTTCAGACTGAAAGTTTTAAGATTTAGATCAGGGTGGTCCAAGGTTGTCGGCTCCGCAAGCCATAAAATTATTTTGCATTGTTCGTGGGCCACAATAGTAGCAAGAATAGGTAAACAGTGCAATACAAAACAAACACCTTTATTGTGCAAACACATAGTTATCAGGCATAGCCATTCTAGGCTAATAGAATCGATTTCTAGTTTCGATTTTTAGTTTTCTATGATGCCCTATATTGTTTGCATATACTCCCGAGTCCCGACCAAAAAGTTAGAAAGCCAGATAACAATTTAGACTGCCAAGCACATCATTCAACTTTGCTAGCTTCCCCAGCTATCCATAACACTATTTAACTCAGTGACACTCGTGATGAGAATATGTCAAAAGATTTTTCTGAATATTTTTATGACGAAACAACACGAAATGTGATTTTTTGATTACTCTCCAAATGTGACGCGGGCCACAGATAATGAAGCGGCGGGCCACATGAGGCCCGCGGGCCTGAGTTTTGACCACCCTGATTTAGATTAACAGTATTGACCTAATTTTATAATATTTTACAACTCGAATATAATCTCCATTGTCATGGGAAAAAGCAGTTGATTGGTGAAAATATCTTGAAATATGGGTCACATCAAAGTTCCACTAAAAAAACTTGTGTTCATTTTCGTAACAGGTAACAGTTTCAATTGGTCTTCTATGTGAAAGTAGTCCCTAGTACTTCCATCTCTATGGTGTCTATGTTACAGGTCCAAGGGCATATATAACTAGAAACACCATTACTTAAATGCTTGTAATTGGCTTTAGGTTAAATGGGTCTGAAATTTAAGAATTTGCCCAGATGTAACGAAAGTAACGCTGGAAATTCAAATTGCCCATTTTATTTGTAGAATTTATCATCTAGTCATGGATTTATTATTCAAAAGTTTGAACTTACGGAAATTGAATGTCAAATATTGACTTAATATTAAACATACCATTAAAACAAAAATTGGACCATGATTGTAACGTAACGCAAGTAACGGATCATTTTTTGTTCCTACTAAAAATTTTACTATTAAGACAAAAGTTTTTCACCTAATTTTTTATGGTTTTACAACCTAACTATATTCTCTAGTGACATGGCAAAAAGAAGTTAGTTGGTGTTAATATCTTGAGATGGGGAGCATCTCAAAGTTTTGCTAAAAAAATATGTGTCCTTTTTCTGTAACGCAAGTAACGGTGTTTTGCGGTATTCCTATGTCAGTGGTTCTTAAACTTTTTCGAGCGCGACCCAAATCTGAATTTTATGAATACTCGCGACCCAATCCTAAATAACGCAAAATGTGTTTTTAATGTTCATACAAATACAGACAACTATTTATTAGAAACAGTCCATTGACTCAGTGAGATTGATAAAACTGAAATTTCCTTTTCACTATATCTTCAATACACAGCTTTATTTTACTGAGCGCAATACGCAAGTTGTCATGGGAATCGAGGCGATTGCGAGCTTAGTTTTAATATCATTCAGTGCCAAATATCCTCGCTCGCACAGGTGCCTTGTCGCGCCCGCTGTCTGTCGCAAACACGACATTCTAGCTGGACTTAAGTATCTCTCGCAATATAAAACTTTTTACTCATCAAATGTGCACACACTGATTCGTTCTCGGTAAATGGTGCCTCGAGATGAAGTCACATTTTCTCTAGATATTGAATAATTTAATGTTGAGAAGCGAGCTTTTTCATTGCATCGTCTATTAAAATTTACATTACCAAAAAGACACCCATTTTTGGTTATTTTAATCCACTAAGACGACATTCCGCGAGGTCAACACAACGACAAGCGACTTGCATGGTTAGTGATGTAACAATGAGCTCAAGACAGTTCTTTCCGTGAATGAAACTTTATATTTCATTATTTTTAAATACCAGATTTTGAAGCTAAATTGAATCATTGGGAAAGCTGAAAATTCGTCCTTCTCCTCTTAGATTGCCCTTGCATTGACGACCTTCCGTGACCCATGTTTGGGTCGCGACCTATACTTTAAGAACCACTGTCCTATGTGAAAGTAGTCCATAGCGTCGCCACCTCTATGGTGTCTATGTTACAGCCCTAATGCCATCTACAACTAGTAACAATGTGACTTGAATACTTCTAATACTGTTTAGGTTAAGTCAGTTTGAAATTCAAAAATTTGCTCAGATGTAACAAAAGTAACGCTGGAATTGCCCTACAATATTACTTTTAACAGGAATGACCTCACAAATTGGTGTTCAAAAGATGGTTGATAATGCAACCCAATCGTTACTTCAAATTCCAGACCAAGTTGGTTTACTTGTTCTGAATGAGTCTGGTGGAGTTATATCATCCCATGGTGATTTATCAAATGATGAACAATGTGCAAATGCTTTGATGAACATGGTAAACACAGCGTGGAAAGTACAGCTTGGGGACAAAGGAAAAAAACAAGGCAATGTTGCCAGATTATCAGTGATATTTGAAGACTATTTGTTTTCTGCTACGGTTTCAAATGGATATATTTATATTGTCAAAAGACAGAATCGAGGACCTGTTACAGCGTAATCTTGTATCAAATACAATAAAAATGACTTCTAGTAAAGAGATACTCAAACATAATATAAACAAATGGAATAAGTTTCTCAACAAATGATGCCTTTTTAAATTGAATTCGTGTTTTATTGCGATTGCCTAATATTAGCTTCACAGGCAGGTAACACAAACGTTGACTTGTTACCGTACCAGTATATAGTAAAAGATGCGGATATTTTTTCATGAGATTAAATCTGAATTCTGAAATTACTGGCTACTGCTATCCAAAAATGAGCGATTCTAAAATTCATTCAATTCTCTTAGCCTACTTAGATCGGAAAATTTTTCATCATGATTATTTGAGTTTCGCTAGTTGACTTATATAAATTTAGTTTACTTGGAAAGCGTTTCAATGTTTCATATTGATGTTAGTAATCGTAACATTTTTGATCTTGTCATAGTGCAATATTACACGAATCTGCTATAGATTGGTATGATTCAAATTCATTCTAAGAATGCATTGATACATAACATGGACATTTTCAGCACAATCCAGTTATTTTTATAAATATTCTGTCCACCTACATTTGATATTTCTTGATTAATGACAAGCTTATTAAATGTATGAGATGCCCGAAAAGGATATTTGTCATTCAATATAAAAAGTAGTTTATACGAGTGAATGTTTTATAATGCTAGTTTATAAGATAGCTAATAACAAATATATCAAATGGGTATAAGATTACTTAATTATTTCACCATTTTTGACACCATGGTTTTGGTCAGGAAGGGTGCAATCCTATAATAAGTCCAGTACTATGTCTGCATACAATTGTCCTTATAACAAATGTTTTTTTATTATTTTCAAATTTTTCATATAAATTATATGGCATTTGTTTTAAATTACTTATCCAGGCTTGTTGAAATGTTTTGCTCAATAAACATTACATCATTTATTGAGGGAATTAAAAAATAATTTGGTTTTCATGTGAGATTGGAATAGAGCAGGCCTGCACAACTCAAATTACCACGAGGGCCGCAAGCATAAATCTGAAGGCCCGGCGGGCGCAAACTTTGCCACATACATATTTCACAAGATAAACTACAAATCAAAATAATATTGTGAAACAGTTAAATTTAATGAAACACTTTCATGACTGGGGGGCTCAAAAATATGAAGAATCTTATTTTCTTGAGTGAAACCAAGGTACAGTATTTTTGCATACGAGATGGCAAATATGTATTTAGTGGTTCATCTACCTTGAAAACCCACCCTTCATTTTAGATATTTCTTTTTAATTAGAATTAGGGATTGCGTGTTGCAGAGTTGCAGTATAACCTGACTGCAGGGTGTGAGATTGTATACCGATATTGTTTTAAGCGTTTTAAGAGTTTGAATACCGAGATATCTAAATCAGGGTTTCCCAAACTGGGGGGCGAGAGGTCGAGCGACGAATTTTAAGAGTCGCGAAGGGCACACCAATTTCACACAAAGTTCAATATTCAATGAACCTAGTGCAAAACATAAATCTTAGGATTTCGAATATGATCGGAGTAGCGGCGCACTGGCATAAATAACAATGCCGGCTTTGATTGTTAGACCCGAGAAGTGGCGTGTTTCCAAATCACCTGCGGGCCGCACAGAAGTATCTAGCGGGCCGTATGTTGTGCAGGCCTGGAATAGAGGAATAACATCCATTTTTGAATACTCTTCACATTAATTTATGTTGAATAATTGAATGAGTTATGTAGGTTTGGTCTCTGGAATTGATATTTTGATCATGCATATTACCATAATACCCTTATTCGTTTTATTATAATATTGCAATTTGGACCAAATGTCCATCAAATGCTTTGGTTTTTAGTCAGTATGTAGTGATTTTTTCAATGTTTTGTAGGCCTATACATTCACATTTTGCTTAATTGAATTAGTTTTTGTGTCGTTAAGGTTATATGTTTACTACATGTTTTGTCATTATCTTTGCATACTTTCAACAGCATCATATAAATAACTATACTCTGTTCTCTATGTGGAAAAAAACATTCAAAGGTCTTTTGATTTTTGAACTCGCTGGACTTGCAGGAGCTTATGCTTTGTTTAAGAAGATTGATACTGATAAGGATGTTCGGTACTATTTGAATCAGAAGAATTACGGGAGAAAAATTCTTGCTGGTTGGTTTTTTTTGTTTTGTTAATGTAGGTCTGTTCACAATGTGAAATATGTTTTGTAACAGATTTTAATTTATTGACTTCTGGGATCATGACCAATACAAAAATTGCTTCATTTATTTAAGATAGGACTTTATATTTATGTTGTAGGAAAAGAAAGCCGATAATACAGCTCAATTATATGGCGAACCACGGTCTCACGTCCTGTTACCGGTCCATGTCGGATGTGAAAATAGGTAACCAGTTATTCGTATACATGGCATTGACCAGCAGCTACGTAAACAACCCTACAATGACGATGTCGCGGCAATCCTATTGTACATAATTATCCCCCGCAGCATTCAATCCTGTTAACCTGTGCACTGTGCAGGGTAATCCGGATGCGATGGAAAGCCTGTTCCTAATGCACGATGCACCAACCACTGTTCAATGTTCATGTCATTATGCCTTTTCAATGATTCTGTATTTATTTTCAGCATACTATTGGGCACATGTACAAAGTGGTAACACCACCATCAAATCTGATGATCAAGTATATTTCACGTCCTTAGATAAGAAAGTCTAAACAAAACATGGCAGAGACCTTAGCGTCAACACAAGCTAATTTGCGTCAAGCACCAGAACCGATACCTACGCGATTCAACTATATATACAGCAGTGATCTTAATGTCAATGTCTATCTAAAAATATGTAGTCTGGAAGGATCAAGACCAGTTAGAAATTATAAAGAATTTTTGGAAGATCCGATGCTGGGGATGGGTGGATTAAATCTCGGTGAGGATGAAGATGATGGGAGTCATATGTATGTTACGGTCCAGGTAAGAATCATGGGTTATTATTAGTTTATGTTTTCACTCTTTAAAAATCAAATAAGCAATTGGGTGAGCAAAAAATTCATGCACAGATATTGGTACTTGGCCATAAATAATTGGCGTTAATCTAGGAGTGAGGTAGCACTATGGAGTTCCCTCCAATTAACAAATTTTTGCTTTCTGCAGATTTTCTCTGAAGATAAACCAATTTGTCTACCTGTCCAAACGAAATACAAGTATGTGAACAATAAAGCTCGCCACACATGGAATGAATGGTTGAAGTTGCCTCTCAGATATACTGATCTACCGAGGAATGCGATGCTTGCTATCACAGTATTTGATGTTCATGGACCAAATAAAGCAACTCCAGTAGGAGGGACAACTGTAAATTTGTTTGGAAAGTACGGAACATTAAGACAAGTAGGTGGAATCTGTTTATCTGCCTGGGACTTGGAATTTTTCCATTTTATGTTGTAAATCAAATTGGGAAATGAATTGAATAATCCTTATGATGAAAATACATTTCAATTCAATAGACAATCATTGGCTGCAATCAATAATCTGAATTCTGAATTAAATAAGTCTTCTTTGGTTGAGATTTGATTGTTGACAAATGAATGATGTATCAATTGGCACACTGAAAAAATGCCTCTGAATATGGCAATATATTCTACTTTATAGACTGTAAATAACCATAGTGCCTTGTCTACAAAAATCAAAGGTTTAAATCAAATGCAACCCCACCAACTAACAGCCAGTACTAGTTCTTGTCGCTCATCGCTTACAATCATAAATACCTACAATCTTGATATTCCTGAATTTGCATTACAGGGAATGACTGATTTCTGTGTGTGGCCTGATGTCGAAGCCAGCGGTAAAGAAGCAACAGAAACTCCACATAAAGCTCCTGCACAAGAAGGGCAACAGATGGCAAGACTTTCGAAGCTTGTTAAACAGCATAGAGAAGGTCACATGACCAAAGTTGATTGGTTGGACAGGCTCGTATTCAGGTGAAATATGTCTGTTCGGAAACTGGGGTCAATTTGTAATGTACCAGTTTGGGGTAGATTCTTGTTTTTTAGAGATAATAGTTTAATTTTACTTAATTTTTTGTTAATTCTGTTACGAGTACTTTTTTGTGACTTTGTTTGTGATCAGTTTTTATTTTTTTTATCAATCATTTTATCGCCTTTTAAGCTGATTATGGAGTCGAAATCAACTTATCTTATCTAAACTTATCTTCTTTGTTTGTATACATTATATAAACACTAACTGACGTAACCAAGTTAAAATTCTGGTTTATTTTAATTAGGGAAATTGAAGTCATCAACAAAAAAGAAAAGAAAGATGTCAATTTCATGTACTTGAATGTGGAATTTCCTAGATTTGCTTATAATGATATTGACTATTCCGTCACTTATTTTGAGGACGATGGAGACGATGTATTACAGGTAATACACTGTAAACATTAAAACAAAAATTTCTACAGTCAATAGCCAAAGTAGAGCAATTAGATAACAGAGAAATAATATAATAAGTCTAATTTAAATTTTTATCAATGGCTTCGCTCAAAAATGTGATTTTCATATGGATATATTGATTGACCTGTCCCAAAATTTGTTTAATTAGGAGCTCAAAAGAAGAAAAAAATTTTTGATTAAAGTTATAGATGAATAATATTAAAGAATGTTATCCTTTCAACATAAAAAGTTTGAAAAGTGTAATTTTACTTAAAAATTTTTTTTATCAAGAATGTGACTAGTATTTATCATCACTAATTTTATTCAGCTTTATTTTTTAAATGATTTTCGAGATGATTACATACATTGTTATTTCAGGTTATACATTGTTATTTTGTTGGTATTTTAGGTTCGAACCAGTCCACAACTTGTTGTTGTCCCAGATCACGAACTGACAGACACGAATTTAGTTGAAGAAAAACATCGGAAACTTGCTCGAAGTCTTCATGCCAGTCAACATGATTTGAAACCGAATGCAAGTACAAGAGATCAACTCGCAGCTATTGTGCAATATCCACCTTCGAAACAATTGACATCAGAAGAAGAAGATTTAATATGGAAGTTCAGGCAAGTTTTGAAATTTTTTTTTTTCAAAGGAAATCAATCATGTTTGATGTCCCCTAAAGTTGACTTTTGTCATCATCAGGCAGCATGTAATTGTAGATTTCTATCTGAAGACCTGTAGACTAATATTTTAATTTTGTTAATGATGTTAGTTATTGATGCGATTGCCTAGTTGTTAGTGCTTTGGACTTTACTATGTTGGTTCACAAATAAGAAACTTGAATTCAATCCACATCACAATAACTCACCTATATCTTACTAAATTGGCTAGGGTGTGTGTTGGAATTTCCTAACAAGTTGCGTGAAAGGCTGCTTGCTAGAAACAAACAAAGCTATTTTCTGCAATATCAATATTTTCCTTAGACATTATCTGACCAACCAAAAGAAGGCTTTGACAAAATTTTTGAAATGTGTAAAATGGGAGAGGCCTGCTGAAAGTAACATTGCTATTCAATTACTTGAACAATGGCAACCTATCGATGTTATTGATGCTTTGGAACTGGTGTCACCCAATTTTAAAAATCCCACTGGTAAGTTGTTTTAGTATGTAAAATAAAATCAGTATTTTTTAATAAATATTTTATAAATAATATATAGGGCAGCGGTTCCCAAACTGGGTCGCGACCCACTGGTGGGTCGCAAAAGTATTCTTAGTGGGTCGTGAAAAGATGTAGGAAGTTTTGATTAATTATACTGGTTATTAAGATCGGTGGCGACTCGAATACGTAAATCTTCAAAAAAACAAAAAAAATTAAATTGAAGTTAAATCCTGATCTGTGAAAGTTTCCTTTTTACAACCTTCTCAAGGGAACAAAAATTTGCTACACAAAGAATGACCATGTGGCTTTTTTACGCATAGCAGTTTTGTACAATGTACAGCACTTCTTACCGTGTTTCCATGAAATTTTGACAGGATTTAGATTAATTTTCTTTTGGAGAATAACACTAAGTTTTTTTGAAAGAGGTCTTTTCGTGCGTTCATTTATCAAAAATAGAATTACCTTGTAGAAATTCACGAGATTTTTTAATAAACATTATATAAAAACCGACATCCATTGTTTTTATTTGTATTTCCTATACAAAAATCAAGTGACAAATATCATAATTGTGATATCCCACAATCTTGAATAATGGTTTGACCTCCACCTTACCTCAGGTCATTGAACTTTTCCTCTCCCACACATTTTAAATTTATTTTAAGGGTAGGGTTTTTAATTGAAATCATTTTTAAAATTCAAATTAGGTCTTATTTTCAGGCCAGGTCTTATTTTCGAGGAAACACGGTAATTTTGCGATGATTAGCCATTGCTGTGTTCTGTGTTATGTCAGAAAAAGTTAAACGGGTGCCATAAGCTGTGGTAATAAATAGTGGGTCCCAACTCTAAGAAGTTTGGGAACCACTGATATAGGGTATTTGTGGTTGTTTCCAATTTCATGGATTATCTAATCAAAGGTTTAGAAAGTTTTTATTCTCAATCCGACATATTACATTTATTAAATTAGATTTGAAATTTTGTGCACTTATTTTATCATAAATATGTACCAGTAATATGGCTATCTACCAGTTATTGCCTGTAGCCTGATAAACCATCACTATTGGGACTAAGAGCTTTGTTGATTTATATGTCAATCGGCATGAATATAAGTCAGTTGTTTGGACAGGTAGCATATTCTAGGCTCTATATAATTTTATTGCAAATTATAGTATTTGTTTATGAAAAATTTTTTTTTCTGAATCATGTTGATTATTTACCAATATTCCAAACATGTATTTTGTTGTTTTTCCTATTTCAGTTCGAAGTTATGCTGTGAAAAGATTGGCTGAAGCACAAGATGAAGATCTGTTATTATATTTATTACAACTTGTACAGGCATTAAAATATGAAAATTTTGAAAACATAAAAGCAGGTGAGGAAATAAGAGTATCCATATTATCAGTGTGCGTCATGCAGAGTAGGTAAAATCATAGAATTTAGTAACAGATAGAGAAATTCAGTCATATTTATTAGCTTGTCTATTTTTAAAAGCATTTGCATTCAAACTGACAAAAAATGAAATGATAATAGGATTTTAATACTATTTTGTGCTATGATAACAGCCTTTGGATGATCAAACTCAATTTCAGAACAGAATCCATGAATACAAAACCATTTGTTTACAGATATTCACCATCAACATGAATATGACCAAACTATGCAATTCAAGAGTCCTGCTGCACACTAACACAAATATATATCTGTAGTGTTTCGTCTGACCAAAACCAGACTTTCTCAGACAAGCACTAACGTAGTTAGTCATTGTTGTAAACTGTTTGTCTGAGGATATCCGATTTGGTCAGCAAAACATTACAGAATACATTTGTGTTAGTGTGCAGCAGGACTCTTGAATTGCATAGCATAGCTTGGTCATGTTTGTTCCTACTACAGCATCCTTGCGCTAACGCAAAGGCATTTTTATAAACATAAATATGTGTTGTCCTCTTGCAGGTCTTACTGCGATGAAAAGGCAAGAACACCCTGTCCCTGCTGTTGCATCCACACCACCTCTTGTCAGCAAATCAGTTGGTTTGCAAACTAGTTCGATGGATGGATCAACCTCTGAGCCTTCTAATGACGTGAAGGTCCCAGAGAAATTACAAGAAGATATTCCTGGAGATGGTAGTATGGCATTACTCGCATCACAAAGTCAACCAGATCTTTTAATGCAGTCAGGAATTGCTATGTCTACGTAGGTGTTCTGTAGAAATAAGAATATATTTTAAATTTGAGTGATCCCCTAATTTCCAGTCTTTGTGATTTTGTAAATTGAAGATTTCCAAAGTAGGAATTCAATGAACAAAATGAAATTACATGTAATTTGGTTTTCTCACACAAAATTTTGATTTCGGTCAGGTCAAATTCAATTAAAACTAAATGATAATTTTTATAGTGAAGCCTGAAAATCAAAAAATATGATATAAATTAGTTGTATAATATCAAGTTGATTTTATTTACTGTATTATTCCAGTGAAAGGGCATTGGGAGCAAAATAATAATAAATACGGTAAGCATTAAATTTTATATTTCAGGCGATCTCCCAAAACTAATGATGGGCAGCAGGCTGCTCCTAGCCTGGACCTTGCAACTTTTCTTATTGAAAGGGCATGTAAGAATTCTACACTTGCTAACTATTTTTACTGGTAAGTACTTGGTACTGACAATAAAGCAATTTCTAATGATCACTAGCAACATAGTATCGATTCGATTCAAATTTGCAACTGATCCAAAAAATTCAAATTTTGCCTCTTTGCTATATCGGCAGCATATTGCTGTGAGAAAGGAATTCCATTAATGTTCTATCAAACTGTTATAGTTGAAGCCTGGCTTGATTTTTCTGAAGGATGTTCATCTTGCCTTAGTTTTGGTTATCAGTTTGCACTTTCATTTTCATGCTTACATTTCTTTCGTCATTCAGGTATTTACTTGTTGAATGTGAAGAACAAGAAAGCTCAGATCATGAAAAACGTCGAGATGCTGACATGTACATTACTGTTATGAAAAGATTTAGTTATGCTTTGTTGAAAGGCGATCGACAATGTAGAATTAGAAGGTAATTATTTGGATTATTGAAAATAGTGAGAAGACCGACTGAAGTCTGAAAAAATCATGAAGTGTGTTGAATTCATCTTTTGTTCCACGATTCAGATCTCAGTTGGCTGGACAGCAAAAATTTGTAAACAAAATCGTATGGTTAATGAAAACTCTACAGAAAGACAGCAGTAATAGGAAAAGAAAGATAGAGAAATTACGGGCTATGTTGGCAGATCCAGATTCCAGTTCTTATAATTTTTCCAATTTTGATCCATTGCCTCTCCCACTTGATCCTGAAGTTAAGGTATATCAGATTTGTATTTTTTAGCCTTTGTCAAAGTTATCAAGACACTAAAATCACTATTTTTGCATGTATATGAATTGTTATGAACAGTATTTTTACATTTGCTGTAAGATTTATCCGCTGAACTGCGGATGGGGTGACTATTATGATTTGATAGTTTCAAAACATATTTGAAAAAAAAAACTTTTTTGACTCCATCTGCTCGGAACTCCAAGAATATCAAATTTTGACAAAAGTTTTTGTACACACTTTTCTTAAAAGTTTGTTAGGATAGGATAAGATTTACATATTTACCCTGGGGGAGAAGAAAGATGATAAGACGACTCAATCATAATGGCAAACCACGGCTTCTCGTCCGGTTACCAGTCCATGTCGGGTATGGGATTAGTATGGTATTTGTTTTGGGAAGCATGGACTTGATGTTGGAGGAAGCCGTAACTGACCAGCGGTTATGTGAACCACCCTGCAGTGACGAGGAGTCCAGCAATCCTGACGCACATAACCATCCCACATGGGATTCGAACCATCGAACCCACAGAGTGTAATCAGAGGTGCGGTGGCATGCGTATTTCTAACGCTTAGTGCGATGCGTCACACCGCCGAGAATGCTTTGAAATTCTGTTTCTGATCCTCACCATTAAAGTCTATATTTTCAGCTTCTGTAAAATCCAAATTTTAACTCTGACTCCCAACATCCGACTACGAAGCCGTTTTGGTAAAACATTAGTTATTCATGTGTATATAATATCTATATTTTATTCCTACTAATTATTTCATACCAGAATTTATGCAAAAACATTTCAGGTCAATGGCATTCTAGCCGACAAAGCGAGCTTGTACAAGAGTGCATTGATGCCTGCTAAATTAACTTTTCGTGTCGCTGATGGAAAAAGCACTTATACTACTTTATTCAAGCATGGAGATGATTTACGCCAGGTATGAGATGGCCCCAAATTTTTTTTTCCAAAATAATGAATTTAGCGTAACATAACAGAGATTGTTGATAAATTCAGTGATTTGAAAATAAATCATTATCTAATGAATGCCACATTGTTTTCAGGATCAACTCATTCTTCAGATAATTACACTGATGGACAGCTTACTCCAAAAAGAAAACCTTGATTTGAAACTCACTCCCTACAAAGTATTAGCAACAAGCACGAAACATGGGTGATCATTTCTTTTTAAGCAGGGTGCTTTTAAACTTTAAACTCTCAGAAATATTTTTTTTTTGACATACCATCTCATTGCATGTCCTATTTTTGTTCTTTCAAACAAACGGGTTGAATCTTGGTTCCGTCAAAAACTCGTTTTCTGTGATGAACTGCTTGATGTGTCACAGGATTGATATGTTTAATACTTCACCTTTACCATTCCTCCCTAACCTTGTTTGTTACTTGGAATTTTCACTTTCTATAGATTTGTTCACTGTATTGAGTCAAAGTCAGTTGCTGAAGTTCTTGCTACCGAAGGTTCCATTCAAAACTATTTTCGAAAATTAAGTCCAAGTGAATCAAGGCCGTATGGCATTGAGCAAGATGTCATGGACAATTATGTAAAGGTATTTATGTTAAATATGTATTTTTTTCTTCATATATTAGAATATGTGCTTTGCTTTTCTGCACTTTCAAATTGTTGTTTTGTAATTTTCTCATCAGTTTTATTCTGGGTGTTAATTTGAACTTGTTTAAGAATAATGAGAAAAAAAGAAGCTGAAAACTGATACATAATCAGAAATTTATGTAATTTGTGCCACTAAAATCCTAGTTTGCTGTTCAGAAGTGTGAAATTCAACTAATTGTAACGAGGCTTTTGCATTTTCTACAAGATGCAAATTATTCGGAATGTGTCTTTCATGAAGAACAGTCACTCGGTTGCATTATTTGAATTTGGCGCTTATATATTTATCAGAGTTGTGCGGGCTATTGTGTGATTACTTATCTACTCGGAGTGGGAGACAGGCACCTTGACAATTTACTTCTCACAAAATCTGGGTCATTGTTCCATGTCGATTTTGGATATATACTCGGGAGAGATCCGAAGCCGCTTCCACCTCCAATGAAGTTAAGCAAAGAGATGGTGGAGGGAATGGGAGGTAGGACATGGTCACAATAGTCAGAAACATGCCCATGATAGCAGTATCTTATTTATTAACTACAAATAATGTTACGTTCAGGTTTGAATAGTGAACATTATCAAGAGTTTCGTAAATATTGCTACACAACCTTCCTGCATCTAAGGCGACATGCAAACTTGATATTAAATTTATTTTCATTGATGACGGATGCATCTGTTCCAGATATTGCATTGGAACCGGATAAAACTGTGAAAAAGGTGATTCTGTTGTTTTTAACCATTTTTCTATTGTTTTTCCCAACCAGTTCAAGAGTTTCTCGGCTGACTTTTTCTAGTGCATGCGATTATATATGAAAGCAGGACATGTCAAAATATTAAAAACAATAAATAGGTAGTAAGTAAGCGCTTTTGGATATATCTACAATTTACTCATCAGAATTTTTAATTTTGTTGATATTTTGCAACGATGTTATTTCTGAATTATAAAATTTATATATTAGTCTGGTCAGTAGATGAAATATATGCTTCATCCTCACTGAATTTATTGTTAAAAGGATCGACAATATACCAGTGTTGTAGAATTATGGTTGTCTGCGAATTCAGTCACTTTTTCCGCGATTCAATTGTGAAAACCAAATTTTCAAATACCTCAGCATTAAAGGACAACTAGATTCTATTTATATTTTGAAATTTACCACCATAGGTTCAAGACAAGTTCTGCTTAGATTTGACAGACGAAGAAGCAGTTCGTCATATGCAAGGTCTTATTGATGAGAGTGTCAATGCATTGTTCGCAGCAGTTGTTGAACAAATTCATAAAGTTGCTCAGTATTGGAGAAGATAATCCTAATTGTTTTGTGAACTATTGCCCAATCTCTCATATTTATATGCTTATATTATCCATTGCCTACAGGTTATGAAATGCTATTTTGATGACAAAAATAGAAGACAATATAGGCAATGTGCAATGGTGTAATTGTCATATCTGTTGAAAGCTGACATTGTGTAAGAAATTGCACATTTCTGCTTCAAATATGCTACATATATATATATATAGCTATTCCATGTGATGTTTGAAACTTCTATTTAATGTTTGATCAGTGAAGATTTATAATAAATACAAGAAATCCATGTGATGTACTATGAACCTGCTTTAGACCGCGATCGGTAATAAGGTCATACCCCAAAACGAATGAGTACTGAATATGCAGACGACTGCACACGCGCATACAAAAAATTCCACCGCGGCCAATAAGCTCGGCTCTTTGTGCGCATTCCTCATAAAATAGCTACAAAAATTTGTATTTTTCATTTGATTATATAATTGTACTCTGAGTAAATGTTTCATCGTTTAACATTTATTCAAATCATACAATTCGGATCTCAGGCTCGACGGTGTGGCGTATATTGCTCAGCGTAAGGAATACGCTCGTCAACGCACATTTGATTTCGAATCCCGCTGGGAATAGTCATGTGTAGGCTTACCATACGTCCCGCTTTAGGCGGGACAGTCCCGACAAGTCAACCAAAAGTACCGCTTTATCCCGCATAATACACGAACATGTTCTCGTTACTGTTGTTGCCGTGTAGCGCAACGCTAGTCTACTTACTGAAGGTGAATGCGTTATTTTGTTTGTTTAACATTGTTAGCGAACGTATCACATGTAAAATCAATTCCAATTGGTCCTGTTCGAACGTTCACGTGAATATAACCTTGAGCAACGTCTTTTTGAGAAAGTGTTATCTACAGAAAAGCATGCTTGGGCGAATAAGTAAATTCCCAATGCTTGAAAACGGCAGACTATTTCATTATGCTTTATTCCTTTTGCTGTACATAGAAAATCTAAATTCGGATCATTTGTATCGTTAGCGTCTGTTCCTTTCTATTTTTCGAACTGAATCCGATATTTATACAGAGAATATGCGCATGAATTCTCGATGACAATATGGCCAATGAAGACAGCCGGGATGATCTAAATGTAGGCCTATGTATTAAAATCGGAAACTGTAAAGTTACAGAATAACAGCTAAGAGGTCGTGTCTTTGTAGGCGTCCCGCTTTGAAGTCCAAAAAATATGGTAACCCTAGTTATGTGTGATGTGATTGCTGGACCCCTCGCCACCATAGGGTTGGCCACCGGTCGGTTATGTCTTCCTATACCAGGGGTGGGCAACCTTTTTCGGCTCGTGTGCCAAAATCGGATAAATTTAATGACAAAATTCTCCTGCGTGCCGACCAAAATTAAAAACAATTCTTCGCTACTTTCAAAGCAAAGATACACAATAATAAATCTTTTAAACATGTGCAAACAGATTCATTAATCGGGAAAATATCAGTCCGACAAATAAATTGGATTCCTCTTCTTATTCTATATTAGTGAGGCGTCTGCAGCTGCATTACCGCTGATAGAGATTTACATTGGGTTTATATTCTGTAACTTTCAAAGAAATAAACGAACTACTGGTTTCATCTTTCAGACTACTCTTATTACAAGATTAAATAAAGTTCATATCTGAGATCAGAGATTCACAAGCATATGCAGATGAAAACATGGAGAGTAATTCAGTTCAGGAAAATTTTCGGGAATGGCATTCCAATCACGCAATAGTTCATTTTCTGCCCTTCTTTCTCTCTGTATTTCCTGTCATAATCTCTTTTAAAATTATTTGATAACCGTAAGTAATCAAGTAACTCTAACCAACATGAGTTTTACAACTTCATAAATCAAGCAGAAATGAAGAAAAAGGGTGGCACAGACGAACTATATTATGCAAGAATGTAGCCAAATGAATGCTGCTCTCTTCTCGAGAGCTCACTCATTTGTGACGTCATAATATATTTCTATGTGGCCATATGTCATGAAAAAACAAAAAGAATTTAAATTTTAAATAAATAACGGATTGTTAAACGATAACGAATAAACGAACACCTAGTTTCATCAGATAATTCTTGAAATTTTTATCTGAAGAAGAATGATCTCGTTTTCCGAGGACTCGCTCGCGTGCCGAATAAATAGACTCGCGTGCCAAGTTCGGCACGCGTGCCAGGGGTTGCCCACCCCTGTCCTATACTATCAAGTACATGCATTCGAAACAAATAAGTGGCTAACTATTCTCATACCATGCATGAACCAATAGCTAAACGAGAGGTCGTGGTTCGCCATATGATTGAGCCGTGCTTGTCACGTCTTTTTGATAGCCCGGAATCTATATCGACGAGACACAATGAAAACGTATCGAACGCGCCACTCTCAGCCCCTTTGTCCACAAACAAGACACCTGCATAAATCACTTCTTTATATACTTGGCAAAAAACAGCGGTTTTCTTAAATAAACAAAACAAAATTGATTAACATAAGTCAAAGCATATAACAACAACAAAAGGCAAATTTCTCACCAAACGTTTTCAGATCCGGGAGGCTAATACAATTAAAATATATAACAGATAAATAAACAGTCCACAATACAGACAAATATCTGCGACTCTTTACACGACGAATACGTGATGCAAATGACCGAAAGGAAAACGCTAAACCAGACAATAGATAATAATACTAATTTACGCTACAAACAAAGGGTAATAATGGGTCTTCAATGATTGGGTGCAAGGCAGAGCACGATGCACTGCATACAGTGGCAAAATATACGACAAACGTACGTTTACAACGTAACATACCCCCACCCGAATATATGACCCAGGGAATATATTCTAAAAAATTAAACGTAAATGAAACAATAATTCGATCCACTATTTTTGGTCTTCTAGAAATCGACATAGTTTAGTAATGGGTCGTCTGACAACATTTGTGCCGGTTCTCACCAACACTGAGCGGACGAGTCCATGTTTGTCTGGGAAGGTATTTATAACCATCCCAACAGTCCATCGACCGCGAGGAATCGATTCATCAACTAGCAGAACCATATCGTCGACTTTGAAGTTATCACGTCCTCTCGTCCATTTTGACCTTTGTGTTATTGTTGGCAGGTACTCTTTAATCCATCGACGCCAGAATTCATCAACTAGCAGTGGCTCCAACTTCTCATGAGTAATCGATTGACCTGTCAACAATACAGATAGAATTCGTTTAGTTGATTTAATCATTCTTTCAAAAACGCCACCCATATGACTGGCGTATGGAGGATTAAAGTTAAATTCTACATCACGTTGACGCAGATAGTTTGCAATACTTTGCTCGTTCCATTTGCTAATTGATTCTTTCAATTCGCGACAAGCACCTACAAAATTGCTTCCATTGTCGCAATATATGTGAACAGGACGACCTCTGCGTCCAGTAAAGCGTCTCAATGCGTCAATGAAGTCGTCTGGCTCTTTGGGTTTATCACGGGATGATGTGGCAATAACCATTTTGTTGGATAGATGTTCGGCGACCTAGGACTGTCAGCTATACGAGCGTATCCTTTATCAACATAATCATTCAATGTCTGAATATATTTTTGGTGCAATGTGTCATCTTTTAAAAGACGACGCTTTAACTGACGAAGGCAATTTTCCGCCACTTTCTGATTACATGGTAACTCGCGATGATTGATTTTCCACAATAAAGGTAGTTCGTAATGTCCATCAACAAATTTGAGTTAGCTTCCATGCAACTACGCGCTATTCTATCTTCGCGGGAAGTTTTAGTGTCACAAATACTGGGGACGTCAGCAAAATCCGTACGCCAAAGTCGCTCAATCTGCGACGCCAAAGGATTTGTATCAACGAAATTAATGGAAGTGTTTTCATAGACGGTCAGAGACGGACCCATAAGAGACCAACCCAGAGGGGTTTTCACCGCAATCGGCTGTTGACTCCGACCCTTTCCAAATTCCTCCCACACAAACACTTCGGGAACATCCGCTCCTATCAGCAAAGTCACTTCACCGTCGTGTATTCGAGGAAAGTCGATATCAGACAAATAGGATAGCTTACGCAAGGAACTGCGCGAGGGTAGCTTATTGGGCTTTATGGGCAAGTTACTGACGCACAATACATTGGGCAATTCAATGCATTCGTCATGTCCGTCAATTTCTTTAACGAGTAGAGGGGACAACTTCTTTGCTTTAACCCATTTGGGACGATTACCAACAGTTTGCAATGTAACATCTATAGGCACCCCGGTTTGATTTTATTTGTTCATCAATTTCACACTACACATGGTGGTTGTAGAAGCGCAGTCCAAAAGAGCGTATGTATCAAAAGCCCTGTTGCCAGCAGTTACTGTCACCGGGACGATATTCATGTAAACACCGGTGTTCCCTTGTTGCTTTGCGGGCGCCAATTTATTAGCGTGAACGTCGTGATCCGCATGGTTCATCGAGGTACCGACGGAACAAGTCTGTTTACTAATATCATCTCGCCGTGTAGGTGTCTCGAAATCGCGATGCAACAAAACATGATGGAACGGATACTTACAATCGTGAATGGGGCAACTTTCATTCTGGGTGCACTGTCTAAACATATGCCCTCGTCTTAAGCATTTGAAGCACAACTGATTCCGTCTAGCCACGTTATATCGTTCGTACCATGAAAGGACTTTATAAATTTCTTACAGTTGAATAATTCGTGAGAGAAATTACAACACGGGCAGTGCCAATTTGAACCACTAGCAGAAATAGCAAAAGCACTACCTTTCGCCTTAGAATTTTCATAATAATTTAATTGCCTTCTATCTCTTCGGGCAAAACGAAAGTCTGATCTTGAAACATTAGCTTGCTCGGTGACAAATTTAGAGAGGCCGTTGTAACTAGCTTCACGATCCTCCGTTTCTAAAATTGTTGCCACTTTGAAATCCCAAGCGTTTTGCGACTCTGGTGGCAATCGTTTAACAATGGCCAGCAAATTGTCAAAATTATTAAGATTGTCGTACTCACTGATTTCTCCAAGAACTAAGCCACATTTCCGCATCAGTCGCGCATACGCTTGCATACCTTTCGCGTCGTCAAAGTTCAACTTCGGACCACGCTTCAACCTGTCCAAACAGGTGCGGGAAATGACACGATCTTTACCATATTCATTCTTCAGCTCTCTCATAGCTTCGCGATATCCGCGACTCGGTTCCATCATTGAGCAATGATCAATGGCATTTTTCGCTTCGCCCTGGCACAGCTGTAACAAATAACTCAGACGTACGTTATCATCATCTACAAGGTCTGTAACATGGGCCTTAAAGTTGCGGATAAAGGAATAATATTCCATTGGATCACCTGAAAATTTTGCAATTTCTGGTTTGGGTAGATCGACAGTTCTGCGATGTAAAGCATGGTTCAAACGTGGAGGCACAGGATTAGCTGAGCTACTATCAGCTGTGTGTGTAGGCAAAGTCGGCAAACGCCGTGGAGTAGGATTTCCCGCTATTGTCGTGCCTAGGCTTGCACGTAATTTACGGATTTACGGAATTACGGAATTATTTCGAGTTACGGAAGCGAAGTTACGAATTACGTAAATTCGTAATTATTGGTCGAGCGCTTTCGCGATTGAAACGAGCTCTCTTCAGAGCAGTCAATTCCGTCGATTGTAAAAAATTAAAGTTTGTTAGAGTTCCGGTATTCGCAGCCGTTTTTCTCTCTCTTGTTACGCAGATGGAGAAGGCATAACGCGTTGCCATTTACTAACCTATTATCAACTTATCTAGCATGGCAAATGTACATATTAAGCGTAGATATGGGATAGAATTGTGTTGAGACCGATGGACGCCAACACACCTGGTTTCAACTTCTTCGGGTGAAATGACTAAAGAATGTAAGAGATCAACTTACCAAACATGGTCTATTTGTAAATGCCGTGATAATTAATGTCGCGCTTATCAAACAGCAATATGACGACGGAAGAGAAATTGCGTAATGAACCAACGCAACTTAGTCTTTTCGGCATCGGTAAAGCGACTCAGACGGCAGAGAAACAACAAAAAGACGGGATTTCCCATGTTTATTCTGCGCGAGATCCATTTTCTATTACAAAATCTTGATGTTCTGTTACCGGTTTTATCGTTATATATCTGTCCATACTTGGCCTTGTTTTCACAATGCATCGCACTATTTCGGCCAAATATGTCTTTACAAAATCTTTAAGTCTTTACCAAATGCGGCAACTTATTTTGATTTATCGTCGACTCAAATACCACCGGCACTCGACCAAACTTGTGTCGATCTTAGCCGATAGGATTGTCGACTTGAGTTAGAAAAGTAAATTAATATTTTCGTGAGTGCAAAATAAATGTCACAAAATGCATTGTTTTGCGATATAACTTTGTATTTTCGGAGAAGGCATGTCATATAAGTACGGTATTTAAATTATGCGCAAATAATTAATATTTGATCTAAATTTATCGCAAATAATGTTATAACATTCAGGCCGCGAAATGATTTAATGTAAAAAGAAGCATGGTAATCGGAATATCGTCAATAAGTCGGCATCAATAATTATTATAAAATGCTAACTAGGTAGTAAAGTCGGATAATGTAAAAAAACGGTACAATAACAAGTCTTCGTCGCGAGGCAAGCGCAAGTATAATCAAACGGGAAAATACGCTCGTCGTTGATTTATAAATTAGAAACCCGGAATTTTTATTTAATACGAAACTCGTATTAATACGTTAAAACGATTTTAAAAAAGTCAACTATCGTTTCATAAATATTACCACTTACCAGTGTTGGTAATGATAAAATTGATCGCATAAAATTGGGTGATAAAGTTGATAAAGGAAAATCAAAGCTAACACAAAAGATAAAAATCAGAATAAAATTAAATTTGAATTCACTCCTCGATATTTGTCTTTAGCATCTGTCGCCGGCGTGTAGTACTGGCGGAAATATGAAAACCAAACTGTCCCAACTGTCGATATCCCATTCGGAATAGAAGTGGATTAAATTGGTTGTTATGATAGGTTTAAAAGTGTGAAAAAAATATCGCAATTACGGGGTCATTACGTAATCGATTTGGCCGTAATTACGGAATTGATTTTTGTCAATTACGTGCAAGCCTAGTCGTGCCTAATTCTATCTACTGTTACCCACCGCAAAAATTCGTCATCGCTCATTTCCCAAACCTTTGATTCTGTTTCAGCAGCCTGTAAAGCGTGTCTTGTCTGAAGCTTACGCAAGTCGTATTCTAAAGCTGAGAGTTCTTCTTCTTGACGGGCCTTTAGGCGTGCCAGCTCCAACTTCACTCTTGCATTCCGGACGGAGAAAGTCGATGACGCTGAAGAACTCACGTCGCTAACGTCACTGGAACTCCTGCAAACATCTAGATGAGTTTTAAATTCATTAAAACTGCCAGGAGCATTGCTAATCATTGCCTGATGTTGGTCATCCGACCTACCACCGGTTGCCATTATTGAGAACCCGAATTAATGTTTGAAACCCTTTGGTTGAAAACTTGAGAATTTTGGTATTAACGTTAATATCATTGAAAACTTCACAAATTATGTTTGGAGACTTGAAATCGTTTGAATTTTGAAGCACGTTTGAAAACTTTTATGTCACGTCTTTTTGATAGCCCGGAATCTATATCGACGAGACACAATGAAAACGTATCGAACGCGCCACTCTCAGCCCCTTTGTCCACAAACAAGACACCTGCATAAATCACTTCTTTATATTCTTGGCAAAGAACAGCGGTTTTCTTAAATGAATAAAACACAATTGATTAACATAAGTCAAAGCATATAACAACAACAAAAGGCAAATTTCTCACCAAACGTTTTCCGATCCGGGAGGCTAATACAATTAAAATATATAACAGATAAATAAACAGTCCACAATACAGACAAATATCTGCGACTCTTTACACGACGAATACGTGATGCAAATGACCGAAAGGAAAACGCTAAACCAGACAATAGATAATAATACTAATTTACGCTACAAACAAAGGGTAATAATGGGTCTACAATGATTGGGTGCAAGGCAGAGCACGATGCACTGCATACAGTGACAAAATATACGACAAACATACGTTTACAACGTAACAGTGCTGTCGTCTTTTCTTTCCCCCGTGATAAATATGTACCGTAAATCCTATCCTAATTTTTAGTCATAAGTGTTGAATTCTCTTCAAAACACCTTTCCGAGTATCTATGTATTATCTTAACAGCGAAAAATAAATATTCTCAAATCATAAATGTTATATGACTGCCCAAACTTCAGTATCTAATTTATACTTTCCTACAATGTGATTCTTCACTCGCTTGGAATTTGAAATAGTAGGGCATTCGCCGGGAGAGTACCGGTTTTGGCATGTTTTTCCGCCGTCCCGGCGACGGACCTAAATGTCCCGGTTTTGCAGTATGACAGTCATAAATAATTTTTCCATTTGATACTATTACAAAAAAAAATCTTTTTAACGGAGGCAGCGGATTTACCACTGATTTGCGTCTCACTTCACTAACTAGTTCAGAATCAGATAGAGAGAAAATTGTTATATCATAGTTGTGATATGAAGTATGAACCATGCGTTTATAAAACACCCAACTGTACTGTCGTTGTATCATCAAAATGGCGGAAACAAAGTGCGAGTTTTATAATGAGTTTAACGATTTCCATTATTTGAAGTAAACGAGACCAATAGAGAATATTGTAATGAGATTTACAGCTCATTTTACCCAGGAAAACGTTCAAACTATAACTAAGCCCCTGGAATCGAACCAAGGTTGGCTTGTCCAATCCGCACCGTCCCGGTTTTTTGCTTCAGAAATATGGTAAGTCTGTCTATACAGCCATAATACAGTAGTAACTTACTATTAGTAAGCAGTTGCCCCTTGGTACCCATACTACACCATTCAAAACGTGGAAGTAATGCAATGAAACAGCCATTAGCGTATCTACTTAAAATGGCGCCCATGGCAAAGTCTGAAAAAGCGCCCCATTGATAGTTGTTTGACAATTTATAATGATTATTAATGAATTAGGCGGTAGGTATAACCGCAATCTCAACAAATTCCTTGAGCTATTTTTACCTAAAACATCAAAATTTGGTTTCAGTTTGGTTGTGTCAGCATCGGACGGGCCAGATTGAAGTACGTAGCGGGCCGGATTTGGCTTTGTTCATGTCTGGTATAGACCCATGTGATTGGCTGATAATTAGGAAGCGATCGCGTCGCTTGTTCAAACGGTGTCTCGTACGAGTCACAACTAAACTCAAATACCTCATTTGGATCTCCTACATCCGCCAATATGGCCCAAAATATCTGTTATAGAGATATTGAATAGAATATCCTTGAATTGAATTTACCAAATACCGTTCACGAACTTCCAACTTCCACCAAAAAATATTCGACTATCGGAAATTAATTCAATTTTGCAATAAATATTTCAGGATATTTCAATAGCGTATGGGAGTTTAATGATATCAAATTCGAATAGAACTATAGTTTAGATTCATAGCCAAAGTTGCTTTCATATCACGGATTAAAAATTTCTATATGTGGATGTCATTATCATCAGTTTAATTGACATCGATTATCAGGATTTGATTAGGCCATTTCCATGGAATTCAATGCAGTATTATTTTTTATGTGTCGCCACGAGAAAGACTATTGTTCACTTTTTCCAAAATATCAGGTGTAGAAGTGTATAAAAAGCCGTCATTTCTCACTGTAAATCACAGTTTCGTCGAATCAAACTGAGACAAACAACAGGAAAGATGAAAACAACAATTTGATTCTTCTCATGCTGGGACTTGGCATCAAGTAAGTTACAACTAACAAATATTTGTCAAGCTGCTTTTACTTGCCGTTAATATATAGTGAAGTAAAGAACAAGAACATTGTACTTCACAATTTAATGCCCAAATCTAAAGATTCATAACAATATATTTTCTATGACAGTCGAATTTGCTCAATTATCAAACGATATTTGCACTAAAAGTATTGTCCGCTAACAGACGACATTTTTAAGTATGCCATTTTATATTACCGTACTTATCTTTTAAAACAGTTGTCAACTATCTTGATACAAAAATAAACCCAATTTTCAATCAGGCGGGACATATTTGATAACATCAAAAGAACTAGATTTCAACATAATTGACATTATCTTGCGCAGCTATCAAACCAACTGTTCATATATCTTGTATATATATCCATATAGCAAATTTTTCAAAAACTTATATCACGTGATCATATAAACCAATGGTCGGCAAACTCTACGTACCTGCAGGCCAAATATCCACTTTTCCGGTAGCGTGCGGGAAGCATTAATTTCCGCCTGTAAACCATAGCCAAATTTAACTTCAAATTATGGCGCACTCGCACATTCTATTGCTTTGTTAATAGGCTGCCACAATTATGCGTGTTTGTTGCCTTTCTTTATATATTTTATCAAACAATACATGTTTTTATTTACTTATTAACAGTGGGAAGAATGATGTTGTTTCTGTGTCCTGGCCAAAGCGGCACCTTCGTTGGCCGCAGTACGTCGTTCAATTGATGATCTGACAAGCGGGTACGAAATTTAATCTTAGTGTAATACTTTAACACGTTTAACATTAAACACCTTAATAACTGCGATGCTGACCAAGCATATCAAGTAAACTGGTTTTGAAATGCGCGAGAAAGAAAAATATTTTTCCTTTCCACTTTGGAATGTTCGGCCCTCGTCGCAAACTTTTCTCCGTTTCCCATACATTTTCAAATTTTAAAAATCAAAATAAACTTTACTTATAATTACAACCAACGATGGGGCGTTCATCAAGTAAACGACATGCAACTGACAGTGCTTGCTATAAAACAAGCGGAACTTGTTACCAAATAAATCCATGTGGATACAATACATTTAGAATCAATTTTTGATTTATGAATTAAAAGTCGTTCGAGGGCCACAAAAAATTTGTTCGCGGGCCGCAGCTTGTCGAACCCTGATATAAATCCATGTGATTGGCTGATAATTAGGGGAAGTGATCGCGTCGCTTGTTCAAACGGTGGGACAAATTGTGATTGTATATCCACCAAAATTGCATTGTATAAAAGACCTCATTTAGATATCCCACATCCTCCAATATGACCCATAATGTCTGTTATGAAAGTGATGAAAAAAACATCCGTGTATTGAATTCACCAAATACATTTCACGAACTTCCAACTTCCACCAAAAAATAATCGACTAGCGGATATCAAATCAATTTTCCAATATATATTTCAGGAAATTTTAATAACGTATGGAAGTTTAATGATATCAAATTCGAATAAATCGATAGTCAAAGCACTGTATCATATATCTATATTCATTCCCAAGCATTCTTTCACATCACGAACTGAAAATTTCTATATGTGGATGTCATTATCATCAATTTTATTGGAATCGATTATCAGAATTTGATTAGGCCATTTCCGCGGGATTCAATGCAGTATTATTTTTTGTGTGTCGCCACGGGGAAGACTATTGTTAACTTTTTTTAAAAATATCGGATGTAGAAGTGTATAAAAAGCCGTCATTTCTCACTGTAAATCACAGTTTCGTCGACTCAAACTGAGGCAAACAACAGGAAAGATGAAAACAACAATTTTGATTCTTCTCGTGCTGGGACTTGGCATCAAGTAAGTTACAACTAACAATTATTTGTCAAGCTGCTTTTACTTACTTCTTACTTACCCTTCATATCAACTGTTGAAAAAAATTGTCAAGTAAATACATTCGCATGACGAGGTAATCATTCCAATTAACCAACTCCCGCACAAGAACATTGCACCTCACAATTCAATGCCTGAACCTAAACACTCATAACAATATGTATTTTTTATGACAGTCGACTTAGCTCAATTCTCGAACGCAAATAATCACTAAATGTGAAAACATTTGTTTATACATGTTCCATTGATCCCACGCCAAAATGAGACACGGCGCCTCCACGGACAATGACAAAAAATTGCTCATAAGTACTTTCCGACTGGTTCAAAAACTCAAAACAAAGTTTCGTTTAGATTGATTATTCAATGTACACGAAGCAATTTTAAATCACATGAAAATTTTATGTAGTATTTACAAATATATCTATTAGTAATTTTCTTAATGTCAAAAATTATCTTTTTTTAGTGCAAAATCCCTGGAGGAAAGTAAGTTGCAAATTATATTCTAAATATAACTCATTTAAATTTATTTCTTCTCTTTATGAGTCTGCAGATAGATATATTTCAAACGTCGGTTTGAGACTATTGATCTGGTATTACTGCCCCCCCCCCCCCCCCCAACCACGCCATCCAAAATGACATCATTTCGATATCACAATCACGTTAAAACATGGGAGATGGCTGGATTTAGTGAGTTTGTTATCATTGTCGCAGACACTTATACGGGAGATCGTCGCTATATTGTGGTAAGCTGTATTACGTGATTGTGTCGTCGCAGTGACGCAATGTTTGGATGTGAAGTCAGGTGAAGGTCAGAAATTGAAAATGCAAAATTTGTTTTTTTAAGCTCACTCGAAGTACTTGTGGTATCAAACTACACTAGACTCCGTAATGGTAGCTATTTCATAGTTCCATCTTCGTTCAGGTGTGATTTTGGGGAAATTGAGCGTAAATTTTTTTTTACGGGTTTTGCTCATGTAATTGCTTTTTTGTCGGTACAATTGTTTACATTAGCACGGAATCAATTTTCTGAGTTACCTCCATTTATACTAGGAAAAGCGGACGACTCTGCTAAGAAATGGGGCAACTATGACTCTGCTAAGACATGGGGCAAGTACGACCAACAAGACAACCATGACTCTGCTAAGACATGGGGCAACTACGACCAACAAGACAGCCATGACTCTGCTAAGACATGGGGCAAATACGACCAACAAGACAACCATGACTCTGCTAAGACATGGGGCAACTACGACCAACAAGACAACCATGACTCCGCTAAGACATGGGGCAACTACGACCAACAAGACAACCATGACTCTGCTAAGACATGGGGCAACTACGACCAACAAGACAACCATGACTCTGCTAAGACATGGGGCAAATATGACCAACAAGACAACCATGACTCTGCTAAGACATGGGGCAACTACGACCAACAAGACAACCATGACTCTGCTAAGACATGGGGCAACTACGACCAAAAAGACAACCATGATCCTGCTAAGACATGGGGCAACTACGACCAACAAGATAATCATGATTCTGCTAAGACATGGGGCAACTACGACCAACAAGACAACCATGACTCTGCTAAGACATGGGGCAACTACGACCAAAAAGACAACCATGATTCTGCTAAGACGTGGGGCAACTACGACCAACAAGACAACTATGACTCAGCTAAGACATGGGGAAACTACGACCAAAAAGACAACCATGATTCTGCTAAGACATGGGGCAACTACGACCAACAAGACAACCATGATTCTGCTAAGAAATGGGGCAACTACGACCAACAAGACAACTACGACTCTGCTAAGAAATGGGGCAACTACGACGAACAAGACAACTATGACTCTGCTAAGAAATGGGGCAACTATGATTCTGCTAAGAAATGGGGCAACTACGACCAACAAGACAACCATGACTCTGCTAAGACATGGGGCAACTACGACCAACAAGACAACTATGACTCTGCTAAGACATGGGGCAACTATGACTCTGCTAAGACATGGGGCAACTACGACCAACAAGACAACTATGACTCGGGCATGAAATGGGGCAACTATGACTCTGCTAAGAAATGGGGCAACTATGATTCTGCTAAGACTTGGGGCAACTACGACCAACAAGACAATGAAAACGATCAGTGAAAATTAAATTAAACAGCTACGTTACTTGAAGACGAACGGAACCGGCAAAACATACATATTTCTTTTCTTCATAGATTAAAGGCTAGCCTTATTACTCAGAATATAATACTACATTGCATTCAACATTTGTATGTTTATTATGTTTGGAGTGATGTTTTGGGAAATTTGGCACAAACACGTTTTATCAAGGCTTTGACGATTCGGTTTTTTTGAATAGGGAAAAGGGCATAGCTTGAAGCAGTCAACTATATTCTGATCCTGTCACTACCCACTGATATAAATCTACCCACCTAGTATCATTCATTATGTCGAAACCGGCATTCAACGCATTGTTAGAGTAAAAGTGTTGTTATCCCAAAAATGACAGCTGAAGTTGTAGCCGGATTGCTTTAATCTACTGTCGGATTCGATTTTTCTTGTATAAGCCGGATTTCGAGTAGGTTCAAAGGTTGTTTTCGCTGACATCCTCCCATGCGGCATTTAGATCAGGTCAGTTGAAGCCGGAATTAAAACACCAAATCTATATTGTAATGAAAACTCCATAAAGGTAGAGGGAATTTCACAACGCAGAGGTTCTTAATAGAAGATCAGATATAGAAATTCAGTTATTTACCAAAAAGCATCATAGTGAATGTTTATACATTTCGACAAAATGTATGATTCAAGACTGTCGCAAAAGAATATGCTCTGATAATTGGTCCACTAAAGAATTAGCAACATCGTGGGACTAATGAATAGAGGGGTAACTGTAGTTGAGGGCTTGAAAAACGTTCGTCCAATGTTCTATTGCACCCCACCTGTGGGACACATTATGACACACCCTGGAGCACAATGGGGCAGTCTGTTAAATTAATCGAAGTATGCATTAAAAACAAGCAAAGAATCATCATCATCATCTAAAGAACTGTGGGACTTCGAATTTGGAAATTTAATATACAGTATATATTTTGAATCAATGTTCAAAGTTTTTCAGATCTTTTTTCAAAACACTCATTAAAAAAGTTTTCTGCATTCACAACATAAAACCACTTTGGGGAGATTCGTATCGGAAAATTCTGCATTGTAGATGTAAACGATCAATGAAAAAGTTTTAAAACAGTTACATTACTTGAAGACGGATGTACATGTTGAATATTTCCATTCTCGACAATGACAGTTTTTGTTAAAAAGGCCAAATACATCAAATACGAGTTTTGAGTGCTGTTCAAAAAGAACAAATAACGATGGCGTGATTCTTTCAATCACTTAATTGTTCACTGCCTCCAATAAAACAAAACCAACAATTATATATTGAGAAGTATAATTTCTAATTCAGATCAAAGACAAAAATTTTACTTTCTCGAATCTGAATCACTCTGAAAAATATTTTTGAAATTTAGAATATATTCCATATTGGGCCATAGGCCAAAAGATACTTTAATATTACACAAAAAAACGTCTATAGGACTCTAAGTACTTAGTGGATCAAACACTGTCAAATTATACCCAGTGGAGCATGTCCCACTGAACCCCGGTTCAATTTTCCCCATGGTAAAAAATATTTTCAGACCGTCTCACGTCGAGCAGAAGGGTGGATTCAAACATCGAACCGCCTGATTCCGCATATAGTATGAGTGTAAGAGCTGATTGTTTACTTTACCCCATGTCCCAGCTTCCCCTACAATAGTATCAAATTTTTCACAGTACGTTAGTTTGGCTCCATATCGCTGAAATGCGATTGCGGTACCGCCACACAGTTTGATGACGTCTGTCACAGTTTTGTGCCGAAATCCTGGCGTGCTCGCCATTGTCACACATGAGTTTCTGCTACTGTGGTTGTTAGATCAGAAGACCCAAGATTCCGGTTGGTTATTTCTTAAAAACAGAAACTCTATACTTCAAATAGCAGAAAAATCAGACACAATTGGAAAGTAGTCGACCTCCAGTAAGAGATACATTTTCTTTACCACGTGTTATGGGTGGTCGGAGTCCGATATTACAAATTCGGACGTTAACACAATTCTCAGACCAGGCAAAACAGCATCGAATAAGAGATCAGCTTTGTTATGCTACCACTGCTATCGTTGCGATTACAAATTATCACACTGCTCTTGGAGTGAGATAATAACTTTCGCATACAACTGGGCTATTTCCATCAATTTACAGCATTTCTACGCTTTGTTTGCCTGGCCAATCAGGGAATCGCCACAAGTTATCTGGTGGGTTCGATCAGAAATAATTCATAACAATGTTGCCATGTAACATTTATGTTCGTCTCATATAACCTCTGCGTCTAGTAGTGAATGCTTTTGCTGCCAAAGCCATGCCCACCAATGATTACAGTGTTCTAAAAACTTAATTTCCGGCCTAACCAATTTAATTGGGTATTGAACCTCGGTTCTCGATACCTAGTTTTTGTTCCCCGCGGCTTTCTTTCCCCAGTAAAAATGTGTGTTTAAGTTTATTTATTTTCTCAACTTGTATGTCATTTTTCACCGGATAAAAAAAAATAAACTTGACTGTATAACTGCTGGAAATACTAGCTGTAGATCGCAGCTTTCTGAATTCGAGAAGTTCCGTGTACTTGAGATATGTTCACGGTTCATATGTTAAATGGGGTACCTCATCCGGCATTCGTCGTCAACAGCTATATGTCGAAATCGCAATACGGAGATCAAAATATATAATGATAAGTTCATAAATTTATGTATATATAATTAGATTTACCATAGGATAGGATAGGATTTACATATTTATCTAGGGGGAGAAGACAGCTTAAATATATGGCAAACCAGGGCCTCTCGTCCGGTTACCAGTCCAGGTCGGGTATGGGATTCGTCAGCCAGTTATTGGACACGTAGTGGACCTATGGCTCGTTTTGGTATTTTTGTTGTTGTTATCGTTTGTTTTCGGAAGCATGGACTTAATGGTGGAGGAAGCCGTAACCGACCAGCAGTTACGTGAACCACCCTACGGCGGCGAGAAGTCCAGCAATCCTCTCGCTCATAACCATCCCCGCATGAGATTCGAACCTGCGAACCCACGCAGGGTAATCAGAGATGCAGTGGCGAGCGTATTCCCAACGATTAGCACGACACCGCCGAGTCATATATATGAAACAAAAAACCGGGAAATTGGACAAGCCTTGGTTCGATTCCGAGGCTCAGTAATATTCCAGTAACTCATTAGAAAACGAGAACTTGCTTTCGGGCATTTAAAAAATAGTAACGTAACGTATATGTCAAATTGACGTATTAAAAAATTCTCTTTCACTTTGAAGTGAGTGACAAAATCAGTGATACATGATCTGCTTAGATTGAAAATAAAAACTATTTTGTCACCTCACCTCGTTAAAATTGGGACTATACCGACTTAATAGGGATGTATGGTAAGCCGTTTAATCGTGCTGATTATGTGATTTCATTCAATGAGCTACATAAGCATTTTGTTCCTATTAGCAAAATTCAGCATTGTGTTAACTAATTTGGTCTAATGTAACTTGAGGTATTCAATGTTTAAGCTTGGGTGGCCGTCAACTTTAATAACGTATTGCAGTCGCTATACGGCAAATTCGAAACATGTTGCGAATTCGTTCGATAGACGTATACAATTTCACTCGCTCTGTGTTGAGATGCATAATATGTTGAGTATTTATTAGTGATTTTGACATTTTCAATGTTGTTTTTAAATTAGGCCACAAAGCTTTATATACAAAGAATTCAAATGCAACTTCAATGCTCAAAAGTAAAGCCGTTAATCTATTTTTAAACAATTATGAAACCGTATATTTTACATTTTCTCATATTTACAGCAAAAATTCAAAACATTTGTTCGTCAGCAATGATTTATGCAAACTTTCCATTGCTTTCAAATTAATACACGTCGTTGATATATAGCCTACTCGTGGAATCGATACCTTCATCATTCAATTCATGTTTCGTGGTAATTTTTGAACTTGGCCTTTTTGTATTTTGAAAACATTCATATATTTCAATTCGAAGCAATTTTCCAAAACAACTCGAAACTTTTGCATTTGCAAATTTGAAGTGTTTCCTGTTTTTGAAGCGTAGTGTTTTTACATATCCAATAGGAAATAAATTCAATTTTATTTAACCCATAATATGTGAAGCTCATATTCATATACGGTATAGTAATTTTACGTAGATTAAACATATCCTTATGAAAAGCACAACTATTTTATCAAAAACAAAAACTAGAAAAGAGTCTAGTTGAGGTGACAGAATTAGTATCAGAATTCATCAGCACAGGCCTCATTTGTTCAGTCTTTGATTTTGTCACATGTTTACCTCCATTTGTTGCCTATAGCAGTGGTTCCCAAACCTTTCTACCCTGACGGAGCGGTAAAATTAAATAAAATGTACGCGCGAACCGGCAAAAGTTGAAATGAGTGGGACATAAAATATTTGCGTAAATAAATGCAGTTGGTCGACGCCTCAAACAAAATGAATTTACATTACAATGACATTGCATCATATTACACAAATATATTATATTTGTGTAATATGATGCAATGTCGGGCACTCACTATGATTCTAGATAAAGAAAAAAGGCACACTTAAAAACATTTCACACGAGGGAAAACTATCAAATAAAGTGCCGACAAAAATTAAAAATGAGTGGGACTTAAACAAAATGAATTAATGAATTTACATGACAGTGACAAATTCGTCGGTAACTTGGCACCAGGCTCACAAGTTCACAACCCTGCTGTGCATCACATGGAAAAGATCTCCGCGTCCCATGCTTATGTTGCGCGCCTCGTGACCACCTGCGGGGTGAAAACAAGTCATATCTTACTGGATGTCAGAGCGAAGCCTTGGAATAATATTCCGTTCTTAACTATTTCCTGGTTTAAAGAAATATTTATAAAATGTTTTATCTGGATAGTCATATTAAGCAGAAAAACCATACAGAACAGGGAAAATGCGCGTGCCGACTTTTAAGCTTCTGAATCTTGCGAGATTCGACGGAGCGTTTTCGCCAGGAATCGAAACCGAATAAGCGAAAAGTGTGATTACTCGGCGCCAAGACGTCGCCGGGAGATTACCGTACTTATCAAACAGCAATATGACGGCGGAATAGAAATTGCTTAATAAACCAATGCAACTTCGTCTTTTCGGTTTCGGTGAAGCGATTGAGACAGCAGAAAAAAACAAAACAACGAAATTTCTAGCGGACCGGTACAAAGTCTTCGCGGACCGGCACCGGTATACCATTGGACTATATGCGGGAAACTGTGTTAGGTTTATACTTTGATCTGATAAATTTTATATTTATTCAACTGATATATATAATATAGATACTTATAAAATGTATAAGATAAGCTTCTTTTTAATTGTTGTGGTCAACTCATTTAACGAAGCCCAGAGTTCGATGCTCAATGCAGACGCCGAAGCAAGGTGCATGTCGTGGGCAATGAAGCGATTAACAGGAGCTGAAGACGTAAGTCAAAGTGAACAAAATACAACAAATATTCTGGAACGTTTGCCCGGTAAGCTATTACATTTACCTAACAAGTGTTATATACGCACTGGGGAGATTTGCCGCAACAGTCCACTGTATGTCCCACTTGTCTAGTGTCGCATATTAACACTACTGAAATATTTCTTCGCCGTGTCCAAGCTATGGATTGATACCAGCAGTTACGCTGTTTTCTGCTGTATACTATTGTCAAGTATAAACAAACAAAACAAATTATTTATCTTCAATACTTTGAAAAGAAGTCATAGATCAAATCAAACGCGAGTCAAAGTTCAAGAAATAGAAGTTTCAGATGTAGCACTTTCATAACAAAACTTACGTTTTATACCGGCAAAAGTGGTAGCTTTTAGAGGTTTATGCAAATACTTCCGGCCAACAAAGTATTTCAAACAATCCAATATAGTTGAAACAATTCAATTTGTGAAACAGTCGTTACAGTCATAGATAAAAATGAATGCAATAAATATAAGTCATTTTCACGAGATCGGCAAAATTTTTATTATTGAACTCAAGTTTTCATGGATTAGTGAATATTTGATGGAAATCGCTAAACCCCCAGTCAGGAGTCAAGTCGAGTCACGAGTGACGGTCACTGACGGTTGGTTGGACACGAGTCATTTCATTTAGCTGATTCGAGTCAATTCAAGTCTTGTGTGACTCCAGTCGATTCACTGATTCCATGACTTAATGAAATGTTGAGACTACTGGTATATATTTATTGTATATATATCCTTTTAGACGAAATGAGTGAAATTGACAACGTTGGCCCGTATAGACCAGGAAAGCGTGGCCCTCCTGGATCAAGTGGCCCACAAGGTCCCCCTGGTTTACCCGGTGTTTGCGATTGTATCCCGGAAGAAGTAATAATATTGCAGGAAGAAAACAAAGATTTGAAAGGTGAAAAAACTATAATAGTGTATCACACACATTCCATATAGCCAAACCTGCAAAACGCCATAAAATAAAGTGTGTCTGTACATTCCATTACAAGCAATAGATAAGATATATAAATATATATAGGATTTTCTTATCCACGTCTGCGATATCTAGAAAATTCACTGAAATGCCTCGAAATGTCGTACTTAAAGGGGGGGGGGGGGGGAATTAAATAGATGTATTGTATGATTTCATATAGTGTTACATAAAAAACAATTCATCATCTAAATAAGATAGGGTGAAGACAATGTCTTTGTTACAAGTAATTTGTACAATTACGATAAAATAATGATGACATGTAAAAACTGTCCGTCTCTATTCGTTCTCTTACGTCACCTCAATCATTTTTAGAAAAAGTTCAACGGATCAGAAAAACATCTCCAGGTAATTATCACTCACGTTTTGCTGCTCTAGAGCAGGGTTTGCCAAACTAGGGTCCGTGACGACCATACAGGGGTCCGCAGCGATATTAAGAGTCTGAAATATAAACATTTAACGTATATCCACTGTTACTTAGTCATTCATAAACGAGATAAAATCGTAAGTTAACGCAATCGTTTATGGTAATTGTTACAATGGGAATGAGAAAAGTTGTTGTTAATGTAGACCAGCGTTTCTCAAACTGTGTTCCGCGAGCGTCTTCGAAGTGTTCAGTGGAAAAGGAATCTTAAATACGTCTAAAATGGTCGTCATGAGGCCCATGACGATCTAAGAATCGTGAAGTTGTCGCCCAACTGACCGTTCTATATCGCGTCATCGTCGGCCTAAAGTGGACTAACTGTAGACAAATACTAATACGGACTAACTAGGGCGAAGTAGTGGCATTTTCGTTAATCGTCGGCCTAGATTATTGACTGTTCATTATCAAATGTTTTTGATTTTTCTATAGGCAAACAAGTAGGTTTAAAGAATATAAAGAATGACGGCAAAAGGTCAACTGTTCTTCCTCCATCTCTGCCTGGTTTTACTTTAAAATGCTGAAAAAATTAATCATTTTCGGTAAACTCTATTCAAAAAATAAATAAACGGCAGGTCTGGAGCTCGCGAAATTGCGGAAAGTACTTTTATTTCCATTAGACGTAACATTAGAGGCAAACATTACGTAATAGAAAATAAACGCCATAGAATGGTAAAATGAATTAATTGATTCATATACACAGCATTTAATTAAACTAAGAAACAATAAAACAGGTATAATAAATGCAATATGTAAAATATTCAATCGTATTTTAGGTATGTTTAACACAATTCTGTAAGTTTTCGCGGCGCATTCAGCAACTCCGTTGGAACCGCTACATTACACCGGTTTTCTCTATCAATTTATTGTTTCATTTTTTGGTGTTCCGCGAGGCGAGATCAAAAGTGTAAGTGTTCCGTGGCCGAAAAAGTTTGGGAAACGCTGATGTAGACGATGATGCTCCCATCGTCTGAGGTGACCCCCGTCACTTCACAGAGCTACACCGTCGGTAATAACAGATCTTAGTCATCAGTGCCCCGTTGCTGAAAGAAAGAGGCGTGAAACCCAGTGCAGGTAATCGTGTGAGACTATCCAAGTATACACAATTAATTTAGTTCTAAATGTTCAATTACTTACGACAGTACACATATCGGAGCGCAAATCGATCATAATATCATCGAAATGCCGTTAGCCTACCAATATTCAACGTTAGTATATATATATTAATTTCGACGTTCTTGAGTTTTATTTCGTCAAAATATATGTAAACCTATATATAATCGTTGCCGGGTCCGTAAAAAATAATATCCACAAGCAGGGGTCCGCGGCCCGAAAAGTTTGGGAAACACTGCTCTAGTCTAGAGTTTAGATTAAGAATGCTGTGTATATGCATATAAACCTTTAAAGTGGTGAAACGATTTTTATTACCATTGGACAGTGCCGCGTACAAAGTTTGACGAATAAAACATATCTCTGCATTTAGCATAGTTTGATTAGGTATTCTTCGAGTCGAAGTCCGCTTTAAATAGGATATTCTCTTACTAGTGAGACTATGTCGGTTTAGCACGATTGTAGAAATTCTAACCTCGCTATATTAATTTTTGAATGATTCAAACAGAAACTTTTGGCGCCTTCTTTTATTCATGTATCATCTCGTAATAATTCTGCAATATTTTTATTACTCTTACTCTAGAAACGTTTTGCCTACTTGGAATGAAAGCCTCAACTATACCTGATAGTTCTATTACAGTCTCTTCAAACCCTGATCAAAAAACGTACAGCAGGTTAGATTATCCATCTCACGGATGGTATCCAAGTGCAAGTAAGTAATCCTTTGTTGCACGTACTTGTAGATAGCAACATTGCTTTAAAACGTAGATAAAACATGTTCCCGGTGTACAAGCCATATTTTTCAACGTGGTATAAAGACCAACATTTATTTGTGTTACTGTCGTCGTTACACACTGAATCTATATGTAACACCTATTGTTCCCCAATTGATTGTGGTCATATTTTTTGATGAAAACAAACTCTCCAGCTCTGATGAAATTGATCTTTTGGCACACATATTTCAGACAATCCAGGTCACGAATGGATAATGACAGACCTTGGTAAAATTCGACCAGTTACCGGTGTCGTAACACAAGGAAGATATAACAGTGAATATTGGACGAAACAGTTCCAGGTTGAGCATAGCCAGAATGGTTTCAACTTCACTGATGTCAAAAAGAGTGACGGGAGCGAAATGGTAGATTATTGATACACCAAGTTATCTTTTTCAGTTTTTTTGTTATTTGCTGCCATAAAAATAGGCTACTGACGATTTTTAGCGATTAGAAACAAGCAACACGCAGCGTCAACACGTCGAATATACTCTGTGGATTAGCTCGCGTCACAGTTGGTCTGTCACTACTTCTTTCACTGTCCAATGATTGTTTCCCCGAGCAATGGCTTCCCTGTTTACTTCCGTAGTATTGGTTAATTAGCAAGATACAGAATGTGATCGAACGACTAAACGACATACATTTTAGCATTCGCTCGGAAACTTTTGTCACTTAGACATATTTTCAGGCATGATTGTAAACTTTACACGTAGTTTTCGCATGCTATTTTTCAATTTTTAGATCTGTTCCGGAAATTCGGGTATGGATCAAATAACGAAATGATCATTTTGTCTCCTTAGGAGTTTTAGTTTAAGTGCAGTAATCAAAAATTAATCTAGAAATAGCTGTGAAAGACTGGGCTAAACTTTTCTACTGGAAATTTTAAATAACAGGTTGCTAAATTTTTTAAATCAAAATGTTGGTTTGAAACATATATCCCATGTTTATAGACGCCAACTCGTGAAATCACTTTTTAAAAACGCACCAAAAATTTTGCAATGGTAAGGTATTGGAAGACTTTTCCGTCAGGGAAACATTCATACCATGCATTGGTCTATCGATTTCCTTTAAAATTAATTGACCAATCGATTCCAAATAATTTAAACTCCATCCGGGTTCAATGGTATTCGACAATTCACCAAAATTTTCTCTGTTCTATTTTAATTCATGTGAACATTCAAGTATATTCGTTTAAGCGTGATAGCGTACGTCACAGCTGTCCTGGGTTTAGATTTTGAGAACTCAGTGCTCAACCGCCTACCGTATGAGTCGCAATGACCGGTATTCGCCAGACCTTAGCGTCAATATATTTGAGTGTTGCTCCAGTCTAGTCAGTGATTTACGATTGCTTTCGTGAGATCACGCAGATTGGCCTACATGTTCTTAGACGTTATTTTGTTTCAAATTATTCAACTACCTGTCATTTGAAAAGCATCAATACCCAAGATATTCCAGATTTATGTTCGTGTCGGAAATGTCATAATAGAAATAAAAGTTGACAAATAACTTGCAAACCACGAACACAAAACGTATTTTTTTAACAACTGGGCTTGAAATCCTTTCTTGAGTGGTAAAAGCGTCTGGACAGCCGCAAAAATTTTAATTGCTAGGTGAAACGTCAATATTTCATTCAGATATTTTCCATATTTTACGGTATATTTGATATCTGATTGGGATAAAATAAAGGCACTCCATGGTCATTATATGCTAATGCTCATGTACACGTATTTTTTTCTTTTTAAGGTATTCTATGGCAACTCAGATCGAAGCACGAAAGTTGTCAACAGATTTCCGAAACCCGTTCTGACAAGATTTGTTCGAATTTATCCCATGGCCTTCTATAACGGAATGTATATTCGTTTTGATGTAATTGATTGCTAAAAAATATATATTGCATATTTATCTTCTACAATTGAAAAGAATAATTATCTCATACTTCTCAAATAATATGTCATAACACCGCCTTGAGACATTGATTTCCCTCTGTATAACTAATCATTCACTCATCTTTGCATGTTGCAAACTTAAATATTTATAGATTTCATCGGGAATATATCTCTGCTACACATGAAGAGTATTTCCCAACTAATTTTTCATAACACCCTCTAGCTAAACTTTAGATTCTTGATGATTGTAAAATAAAAAATTCTCACAAAAACTCAAGTAGCTTATGCCTAATAATAATAGACCAGATGAAGGCATCAAAATCAAAGATACGCTGAATTTGTTTCTGCTGGCATAGATCAAATGTCATGCTAAGATATTTCTTTATTCATAGTTTCATTCTTTAAACAAGGGGTGTGCAAACTACGGCCCGCGTGCCAAAGTCGGCCCACAAGGAAAAATTGTGCGACCCGCGGAGAAATGCCATTTTTGAATGGTGTGCTCGCAAAACAAGTTTTTAGTTTAGTTAATCTGGTACGTGCGAGCAATTCCAATCCTTTTGCGTCGCAAAGCATTACATGAGTGCCACTGTCATATATATTAACAAAACTAGCTAGCAAATCCTGTTGTAAAATACACGATGTTATAAAAACGTGTTTATCACTGAATTCGTTTAAAGTCGGCGTGACAATAAATTTGAATAGCAGTTTTTTTCGGAAATTTATGCGTTTTAATTCACCTGCAACTACTAGAAACGCTATCTTAAATAAAAGTGCGGTCAGCGGCCGCACCCGGATACTTGTATCTGGCTCTTTTGTAAAAAAAGGTTGCACACCCCTGCAAGTAGATTGCCAGTGTTTCTTGTTCTCTGAATAAAGTATCGTATCACAGAATCTTGGTTTGTGCGTTTTTAGCTTTGGGTGCTTTACCATTCAATTATGTAGATTGTAGGGGAAGGTGGGACATGGGGCACAGTGAATAATCAGCTCTCACACTCAAACTATATCCGAAATCAGGTCTGCGATTCGATGTTTGAATCCGCTCTTAGGTGAGTTACAACATCCCCGCAAACAGACAACGGTGCGATGAATTTGGTTTTGGGGATTTAAAACTAAAATTTCAACATTTCAGTTTTCCTTTTTCCTGGTTCAGCCTTTCCATCATGACAAACCACCGTCTGATATTTTTTAGCCATTGTCCACTGTTAAATATTCATAACATTGGCGAGTGGATGTGCCTTCCCAATCTTGACGTGAGAAAGTCTGGAATTATGAATTTGACTTGTTAATATATAAATGTTGATTTTGTTTTAGTGGACGCAGTGAACAGTTTAATGATTGAAAAAAATACGCCATAGTTTTTTTTTAACAGCACTCAAACTCCGCAATTGATGTTTATGGCCATTTCGTCAAGGAACTGTCATCGTCGAGAATGAAAGTTTCAGAACTAATTTAATTGATTGAAATTAGGGGCGCTCCAGAATTACGTGTACCAGTATTGAGGTAACTAATTTTGTTCGCCTTTTTACATCAAGTTGTGTGAAGGGACGGAAGTTTATGGGCGGGGGGTATATTCACTTGGCCAACACAAACAGTCCCCGAACTCGTAATAGAATTAAAATAAGAAAAATCGGAATAAAATTATGGCCTGACCCCAACCTGGCACACATACTAGAGGAGTACCGAATTAGGGCTAATTCAAAAGTAAAGCAATGAATTCATTTCATATTTAATAATACGAATCTAAAATATACAACAAGTTAGTCTACAATGCAGAATCTAATGGCCCAAAGTGATTTTATGTTACAGATGCAGAAAATTTGTAATATGCCCAAATTCGTATATGTCAACTTATTGTGCAAGCATATGCCTACCATCCTTTTATAAATTTTATGCCAACCTACTGTGGAGCGCATTGTATATATATATATAACGTATACACGTTTTAAGATTCTCAAAATAGTGAGTTTTGTTGCAAGTTTTTTTCATAAAGCTTATTAACTTCTACTTAAACACTTACAATTTATCCAAATTGTCTTTGTTGTAATCATTATCCCCTCGCTAGTCGTTTGTCTTCCATGTAACTTATATACATTTATCCAAGTTTTTCTTCTTTTATTATATGATTTTAGTAAAGTTGCGTTTGCTGCGAATTTTTTCAATAATTTAAAATATATCCACCATAACGACTATTGCATGGTCAATGTTTGTAGCAAATGTAATTATTTTTTTACATTGAACCAGTAACAGCGCTTTAGGTGTCGCTGCTTGAAGACCTAACAAGGTCCGTCGCGACTCCTGTCGCACAACTATCATTATTAGGATTTACATATTTATCCCGGGGAGAAGAAAGCCGATAAGACGGCGTATCCATATGGCGAACGACGGCCTCTCGTCCAGTTACCATTCCAAGTCGGGTATGGGATGAGTTATATTGTTTGTTTTCGGAAGCATGGACTTGGTGGTGGAGGAAGCCGTAACCGGCCAGCGGTTACGTGAACCACCCAACGACGGCGCGGAGTCCAGCAATCCTCTCGCACATAACCATCCCTGCATGGGATTCGAACCCACGCAGAGTCATTAGAGGTGCGGTGGCGAGCGTATTCCTAACGCTTAGCCCGTTGAGCCACACCGCCGCGCCATATTATTATATTTATTTCCTGTGCCAATTTTTTTGTGCATTTGTGACGACGAATAAATGATTGATTGATCTGCCTCACGTGGCCTATTCCAAACCGCGCCATTTAAAACTGCTGAAGGGGAGCGCCGAAAATCCACAACATAAGGGTGGCGTGTCGACAAGTGCTTTTTGATCAAAATCACCAACAAGTGCTTTTTGATCACTGCTGCACAATTGCATACTTAATTCGTTTATCGAATAACGGTTGTTCGGTTTGATTGCCAGTAAAGCGGAAAAATAAACAAGTAATGAATGTTGGGAACTCGGAATTTCGGCCCAAGATGAAACGTCGCCGACATTTGAAACTTGTAGATGAAATTGCATGTCAGTAAGATGATAAGCCCACACACTGCCACATTTCTATTCACATGAACCATATTTAGCCTTCAATTACACAAAAAAAATAAAATTCTTCCTCAAACACCCCCAAAAAGCTAAAATTTGACTTGAATGTTGCAAAGTGAGTTATTTATTAGTATGGCAATTGTCGCTCAGATAGGATTTAAACCAGAAACTGTCTGGCTAGCGATCTGAAAAAACGTCTGCTTTTAAATGACTGCGCTTCTTTCAAAACTTTTGGTGTGTTGCAAACATTTAAATCAGGATTTGCTAGAGCTCGCGTTGCCGATTCCTTTTTAGCAACTTCCACAGAATCTCGATGCATACATGTAGCGTACTCTAGCAATTCTACATCCCAAAAATGCTCTCGATAATGGACCTCCATAGCATCTGAGCGCTCTCGACTTTCTTGTAAAGCTTTGAATGCAGTGGAGTAATCGACTTCTTTGATCATTTGACAAAGAACTGCAGCCTGTGTATTGCACTTCATTTGTAGACAACATTTGACCATTCTTCGCACCATCTGACTATCTAATATGCCTGAATTTAACAAGTCTCTGTTGAAAAAATTTGACTGAACAGCGATCAATTTCAAATAATTCCTAAATGCAGCAGGATAATTGCAATAAGCAAAATCGACATCAGCTTGGGTATGTAACCAAAGAGGATAATGGGGCTGAATTTTAAGGCAGTGTGCAAGCACTTCTCGGACAGCATTTACCACACACGCGGCACTGATTGTATGCTGAATTCCAGATGATGAAGATGGCCATAAATCTAACAAAGGAACTTTGATATCTATCAGAATATCTTCTTGACAGATGCTGTGAAGACGAATTAGAAGAGAAAGGATGATTCGCAGTAACCTTGGATTCTTAAGTTTCTTCAACATTACCAATAATGCTGGGCGAGACATGAGTCCTGTTGGCACATCATTCGCTTTAGCAATTGTGATTGAATTATCCTGGCTTCGTCTTTGATGGTGGGTTGTTGCAGCAAAAATTGCTGTAAAAATGGTCCAGAGATCACTGGCTGATCGTTTTGCTTCTTGGTGAGGTGGAGAAGACGACGAAATCTTGGCGTGTACCTTGGATAGAACTTTAGCAAATCGCACTTGTCCATCAGACTGACTTGCAAACGAATCAAAAAAACTTGCCCCCTCTAAGTTCAAAAGAAGGGCTATACTCAAATCTGCGAGTTCCGGCGGCGAAGGAACGACATCTGAAGTTCTGCTTGAGAGATGTTGAATAGCTCTCTTTATAACATCAGATAATTGTTCCCGTAGCTCATGACATTCAGATTCACTCGAAAACTTCAAACTGGGGTCATTAATTAATTCAAGTAACTCTATTCGCAGAAGTTCATTAGCAGATATCTTGTGCAACTTAAAAGAAAGGCTTTTTCCATGATCTCGAATGTAATTCAGTATATGCTTTGCTGTCTGATACTGGTCAAAATCAGCCAAACATTGATTCACTTTTGCTAACAAAATGTACATCAAATCCCGGCTGATTGTAACACTGATTCCCTTCAATACAGACTCATAATCTTGAGTTATATTCCACTTGTCACAAATCCTCCAGTGCTGGCTTTCGGGAGATATTTTATGGAGCTTAGTCAATGTTTGTTTCAGTACATCCGGTTCGAAACAGGTGATCAACTGGCATTCAAGTTCTATTGCAACAACTGGTCCTGATGAAGCACTGTCCGGGCTGGTCGGAGAATCTTGCACCACAACATTGTCACGACTAGTTTCGCGTTGCTCCATATCATGCAAGTCTTTGGGAGAAAGACAAAGTCGTGTAACTTCACATTGCAGTAGATGATGTCTTAAGGGTTCTTTAAAAAGATTGTTGTGAAGAGAGTATAAAAATCCTCCCAATTTTTTTCTTCCCTTCCGTGACAAACAACTATAGCATTCTTGGACAAATCCTAATATTTTTTGCAGTTGAGCAACATTCAGTTCATACGTCCATAAGCAGCTTGGCTGTGGATATCCTCTTACCGTTCTACACAGTGCGTTTGACCAAATTACATCAAAATATAAGTCAAGATTTGTAGATTGCTGATTTTCATATAAAATATCTTGCTCAATTTGGTCACGGAAAGACATCGAAAGTTCATTGAGTTTGATGTCGTCCATTAACAATGTACCGAGCTCACGTATATCAGAGCTTGTTTTATTCTCCAGACACTTTAATACTTTATGATAAATAGTATCATTGCTCACACTTTTTACCACTTCTTGGTCCGGATTAAGAGAAGCACATGCAATCAAATAACCCTTCAATGTATCGTTATTAACATCACAATATCCAGTTGAAGTATCTGTAAAACACTTCAACCATTCTTTAACGTGGCCGAACATTTCATAAGCTTTGTCATAGAAACCATGCATAAAATGCAAACAGCCCAAGTCATAGCAAACTTGTGCATGTAATTCTTCTAGTGATATCAGCCAGCCTGTGGTTTCTTCAGTTGAACATAGCTGCTTGTTTTTTATAACATCAAAATCAGGGACATACACTGGTCTTTTAACTTGCTGTAAAAATGACTCTAAAGTTTGAACAATATCAAAACATTGATCTTTGACGATAGAAACGATTTGTGATTTGAGTTCCTCATATCTTTGTTGTGCATTTGGCTGATAAAATCCTGGTGTAGGAGCAGTGGGAGTAATTCGACCCCCAGGCTTCATTGGAAATGCAGATTTGACCACAGTCCTGGCTGCCCATCTACAATACAATACGATTGCCATTATAGTATGATCGTGCATTGTTATGATTTGGTTTTTGATATCAACTGTGTGTGATGGAAAAGAGCTAGCATTACAAAACGCCAGCAACTCCCTCAACAATTGATGTCGACTTGACATTGGCAATTCTTTTTCAAATAGATTGAGATCCCAATGTAAAAGTGCAGCAGTTTGCAAAGCCAAACATTTTAATGATAAATTTCTTTGGTTCTCTGGTGGTGCTAAAATTTTGCCCTGGTCATTTATTGGTTTGTTCGCTTGTTCGAAAAACTTTTTAATCAGTTCTGTACCACTTGGATCAGGATCTGTAGAATCCAAATGTATTTTCAATTTGTCATCATCAAGTAGAAATTCATACCAAACTACTGTATCAGTTGCAGGTGCATTGGGAAAAGCCAGATCATTCATTTTCAATTCAAAATAACTGTTTTAGGCCTCCAAAAATAGAAAAAAAAATTACAATCAGAATCAGTATGTAAATAGAAAAGGTTTTACATATTTATACGGGGAGAGGAAGGCCGATAAGACATCTTAACCATATGGCGAACCACGGCCTCTCGTCCAGTTACCATTCCATGTAAGCTAAGGTATGGGATTAGTTACCAGTATTTGTTTCTTTTGGAAGCATGGACTTGATAGTGCAGTAGTGAAAGAAGCCGTAATCGACCAGCAGTTACATGAACCACCCTACAGCGTTGAGGAGTCCAGTAATCCTCTCGCACATAACCATCCCCGCATGGGATTCGAACCTGCGAACCCATGCAAAATCTGCCAAATAAACATTAAAAATTCTTTTTACTGTACTGATCTATTGATGCACATCTATCGGGTCTTGTATAGTTTAGTACCACATGTACTTCCGGTGGGCGTAGCATAACGAATTTTGCATAACAAAAATTACGTCACTACGACATCACAATCACGTCATAGAGCTTGCCAAATATACGTACGATCACCCGAAATGGCATCGGCGCCGACGATAAAGAACTTACTAACGTCAGCGATCTCTCTCATATTGGATCGTCGCGACGAAAAAACGAGAGAGATAGTCGTTCGATTTCGGGTGCGCAGATGAGCGCGTCTAGGATGACAGTTCGTATAGTTTAAGGGGCTCTATTACGTCACTGTGACGTCGTAGAGACATAATTTGTGGATGGCGTAGTCAGGTGGGGGTTAGGATTGACACATGCAAATATTGTTATTCTACGCCCACCAGAAGTATGTTAGGTACGAAAGTACATGAGACCCTCCTATCGTGATCGTTGTGACGAAAAAACGAGAGAAATTGCTTGCTCGATTTCGGGTGATCGTTTTGGACGACCATCCGCATACTTCCATGGGCCTTATTACGCCACTGTGACGTCGAAATGACGTAATTTTTCGGTGACGTAGTCAGGTGGTGGTTAGGATTGACATATGAAAAAATTGTTGAGCCAGATCAACTAGAAGTACATGTGGTACGGTACTAAACTATACCAGACCCCTAAACTATACTAGACCCCTAAAGTTCAGCTACAGAAATAAGTTAGCAGAAATCGTTCACTACTTTTGTATGCATTTGATTGCTTTAATTCCCAAAATGAATCACCTCAAAAACTCTTTTTTTTTTTTTTTTTGTAAAGGTCCACGTTGTGGATTCATAACAGTTTTGTAAAAATAAATAAATGATGAAAAAATAATAATCATAGAACATAGTTACATCTAATAAACAAATATATTCGTAAACATCATTCAGTATTATCCAGCAATTCGTATTATTCCATTGTTGATTCCAGATAAAGTTTCCCATGTTTATCAGTAAATATACATTAATTTATATGTTTTTAATTTATAGCAGAAAAATAAAAATTTATACAATTAGTCATAGATTCTTACAAATTATGTCTAGTTCTTTTATAAAACTAGGATTATGTCTAAGTTGTTCTATATTTCTCCTTGCTAAAAGGGATTTTCTAATTCTTGTTATGACACTATTTACACTTGGATTAACATTTTCAAAAATAACTGCATTACGTTCTAACCATATTTTATATCTTGCAGTACACAGAAGAAGTATGACTGCATTACGTTCAACTAATGATAAATGTGAAAAACACTGATTATTTAGTTCTAGTAAAATACATGTTTTATAAATATTTTTTAACTCGCAATTGTTTATTTTTAATACAACTGAAAAAACATAATCATATACAATTTGTGTAAATGCACAGTTCCAAAATAAATGAGATATAAATTCTGGTTCTTGAGAACAAAGTACACATAAATCATTTCCAGTAATATGTCTAATCCTTGGTTTAACTTTTAGTGAAAGAATGTCCCACATAAGTTTATAATTGAAAGTTTTCATATTATTAGCCATATTTTACAATGTATGTTTGAACAAGCTCCTTCCAAACTACCATCTCTAAGAAACACTATTCTGTCACCCCTCTTCAAATTATCAACTATTTTATTATAAATTATTCGATGTTTCCCTTGTTCTAAATCAGTTCCAGCAATGTTATATTGCCGAAGGAAAGTAATAATGTCTCCATAATATCTATTGGGGAAAAAGGTACCGTATGTGATACACTATTATTTACAGGTATTTTAAAAATAACACTCAGTTGTTGCCCTATGTTATATTCAATGAAATTATATACGGATTGTCTACTGTGTTCAATATTAGCATTAATTCTATCACAGTAATATTCATAAGAAGTCATGACATAAATGCACATTGTAAAAAGAGGAATATTAATTATATCATATCCTCCTAATTTTTTGTTTTTACATAGTGTATCAATTCTTAAGGTATTTCTACCATTAAATAGGATAGGATAGGATTTACATATTTATCCCGGGGGAGAGGAAAGCCGATAAGACAGCTTATCCATATGGCGAACCACGGCCTCTCGTCCGGTTACCATTCCGAGTCGGGTATGGGATTAGTTATATTGTTTTGTTTTCGGAAGCATGGACTTGGTGGTGGAGGAAGCCGTAACCGACCAGCGGTTACGTGAACCACCCAACGACGGCGAGGAGTCCAGCAATCCTCTCGCACATAATCATCCCTGCATGAGATTCGAACCTGCGAACCCACGCAGAGTAATTAGAGGTGCGGTGGCGAGCGTATTCCTAACGCTTAGCCCGTTGAGCCACACCGCCGCGCCACCAAACTTTTCAATAATATCATTAATTTGTTTTCCTATATACAACGGGATAGGGAATATTCTTGCACAGTAGGCCTATAAGAAAACAGGTAAAATTTTAAGTTTGATCAATAGACATTTTCCATCGAGTGATAAAGGAATGTCCTTCAGTTCACTTATTACAGTCCTTACATTATCCATACAGTCTTCCCAGTTGTTATTGCTTGTATCAGAGTTTGAAAACACTACTCCTCACCTCACAGCCTCAAAAACTCTTGAATATCACCGACACACTATAGCAGTAATATAAAGTCTGTCTGAAAGCTCTGCAACTAGAATTCAGATGAAAAAGTCCCTTGCAGCGTTTCCCCGACATTTGACCCCAGAAAAATTCTACCTTTACATCACCGTTTTTAAGAGCGGTTTCGGAAACATAACCAAAAATGACAAATAGGATGTAAAGCTATGAAAACGAGAAAATGTTTATAACCATGTCTGAAAATCGATCCGAGTTACAAAGTGTCTGAGTGGGGCATAAATTTCCATTGGTACGTCGATTTTTGCATCTTGCTGATTAGCTAAGCAAGGACGTTGATAATCGGGGAAACACCCATTGTTTCCACATATCCGAAGCCGAGGGCTACTTCCTAGGTACCGATTGAGCCGAGGGCTACCAGTTCAACGCGCACTTTTAAAAATATCTATTTGCTCGATTAATCTTCAATTATTGATAATTACTTGTATTTAGTCAAGTAAAAACACTGATATACTTTAGGATTCTTTGGGAAATCAAACGATTATCACAACGTAGCCAATAAATTACTAGCAATGACACTTCCATTTTCAAACTGACTGTTTTTCAAATTGATTTTAAAGTGATCACTACAATATTATCCTCGGAAATGACAGGTCCACAATTTACCTACTTTTTTACAAACACCCTGCATAATTCTAAGATGAAATGAACTTAACAGTTGTATTGCCGAATGTTACATTTACAAACACATTTAACTAATTATGAATATCTTGTTTCAACAGGGAGAAAACCAAAATCGAACAAATCTGGTCTAATGCTCTCCTTCAGTGTGTTGTACTCCGGCGTGTAACTTAAGACTGTAACTCTGAGCGGGTCTTGCAGATTTTCATTAGTATAGTCCGGCAGATAAGGGGACCTTTTTGGCCCAAGTTTGATTTCAAACATAAAGTTTTTTTTATTTGTGATTATTCATCTTGGGGTCATTGCCCATCATTTCTACATGGGGGTGGAGTTTGCAGCCTTGAGCAATTTTTTTTACGGCTCGATATTTGTATTAGTGTTTTTCGTCAAGACTGTGCATCATAACGACGCACAACCTGAACCATAACCTGTTACAATACTATGTTCAGGTTGTGCGCAATCTTGGTGCACAAACTACGCAAGCACCAAATTTACTAGAAAATAAAATCAATAACTTTTAGGTATTTATTGAGATATTTTTATTAGTGTTTTCCGTCAAACCTGTGCATCATAATGACGCACAACCTGAACCCTAACCTGTTACAATACTATGTTCAGGTTGTGCGCAATCTTGGTGCACAAACTACGCAAGCACCAAATTTCCTATAGAAATAAAATCAATAACTTTTAGGTATTTGTTGAGCCCAGCTTTGGGTCGCGACCCATATACAGTATATGGAAATACTGTCGAAACATACGCGTAAAATAAAGAGTAGCCTACTATTTCAAAATACCCGTTTTTGTTGCAATTAACAATACAAGCCTGCTAATGCAGTCGCCAGTGGTTCAAGTGGATATACACCCGGTGGAGAACAGTCAATTATTTGTTAGCGAGAATTGTTATGCAGCGGGATGATCACGACGACGCAGTGAAAGATAATGATATCACTAGAACAAGAATGAGAAAATTGCTACGTTTTATAGTATATCCCTGGGAAATAATGTAGTTCATTCTTATGTTCCATGCCAATGCTTTTCAAACTACCAAAGACTCTCAACACTTTTGCTTCTTCTCTTCTATAAAAATACATTGTTATTATATATTCGTATTTCCATCTAATTGTTCGTGCTCCCAGATAACCGATCAGCGGCCTCCAAGGAGAACGGGGTCCCCTTTTGGGAAACTCTGTCATAGACTGAAAGAGGCGACCGTGCTACTCTTGTCTGTTGTCATGCTGTCCCTGGAATTCAGCTACAACAAAAATTTCACGAAAACCGATTTTTAAATTTTATGATTTTATTAATATTCTCAATGAATGATATACGGGTGGTGAAATGCCGAGTTCTTCCAACAACATGATCATGTTCTGCAATTTACAACCAATATTTCGTATGTAACTTTGTTTGACAGAGCCCCAAGAGCTCTAACTACAAATATCAAAAATGTGAGGCCAAAATAGTCACACTACACATTGTCAAATGTGCTGTATTTACGATAGATAACAGGTTTACCAAAAAGAATTACATGAAAAATGGTAAAATAAAGATCAATTCAGCAATATCTACTTGGTGATATACATCTGTTGATGATTTTATGTGTCTGTTTCGGAAGTTTAATAACAGAATTAATTGTGGTTGTTGAGGATGTTTTAAAAAAAGGTTGCATTGAAAAAAGTTTTCACAAAATGTCAAGGTTTAATAGTAGTAGAGAAGTAGGAAAAATACTCCCATGTTTTATTTTTCATTTGATAACCACGCCACAGAACTTCCCCAAGAAGTTTACGCAGCAATTGCGAGAGACAGAAATGCCAAGATGGGATTTCATCGCATTGCAAACCAATATTAGCAATTCTTATATATATTCGCGCATTCCCATCTGAACAGCGTGGAAAAGATTATACCCATCTACACACTTTAAGAACTATGTCAGATGAGCGTCATATTATCAAACATCAGTGAAGGAATAGTTCAATGGGAAAAGACATATAAGGCAGAACTTTCAGTAGTATTCAATCAAATAATCTTATTGTAGAATATATATTTAAAAACTTTTCGTCACGCCAACTGCAGTCCGAAACTTTTTGTAAGAGACTGTAAGAGGCACGCGATGGAGCAGATACTAAGAGTATCCATCCTCCAGCTGTGATTTGAATGGGTACTGCTGTTTTTATTGCAGATGTCACTGATCTTTTTGTATTAAAGATTTACTGGCATCACTGATTTAAGGATGTTGGAAACCAACACGCAATATTACAAAACTTACTTTCAACACGCGGTTTGATTGAGTGGAAAAGCTGAAACTAGTATTCTTTAGAACAGCATACAAATTCTATGGAATGAAATTATACACAAAAGATGTATTAGTATTCAAAACGTTTGACTCAACTATGTTGGCATAACAGGTGCACATTTCGGTTTCGCATACGCATACCTTCTATCTCCACAAGGATATATTAATTTTGCCAAAGTCAATGCAGAACTGAAAGGTTGCGGTTCTTCCAAAAGAAAACACGTTACACATCTTTAGATACCAGTGGATGGTTTTACATGGCCTTGTTCGGAGTGAAAGACGAGGTCAAATATTCCAATCCAATTCAACTAATAAAATATTTCCCAAGTCCCTAAGCTTAAACTAGGAAAACGAAATGCGCGCGGCAACTCCAATGTATTTTGAAGAGCGCAATAGAAAGTGGCTAGATGCTGTCGATGGATCTTGACTTGTATTAGTGAAATAAACTACCATTTATTCTACTGAAATTGAATTTCTGACATTGTAAGGAGATTCAATGTTACTATGTATGCGAAACTAAACCATGTAGTTATGAAATAATTGTTTTTAACAAAAAGGCGCTCCTGAAGTATTCGTACCAAGATGGCGCACGACCTGAACATTGTATGTTTACCAGGTTAGGGTTCAGAATGTGCGTCATCTTGGACCGAATACTTTGAATCCACTTAAAAAAAATTGCTCAACATTATATACTCCACACCCACCTGGGTATCATTATATATGTCATATACATTATATCTAAACAATAAAAAAAACTTTATGTCCCAAAACAATGTTAAGGCCCGATTCTGCCGGACTAGTAAGGCGTATTCCGTGCTTAGTTCATTGTGAAGTTCATGTCAAAAAAAGTTGATTCACAAAGATGGCTTGAGTTGAACCCAACACTAATCTCGTAACTTAGGATTGCTGTTTGATTTGAAAGGCAAGCTTTTTCTTCCCGTACTGCGCTGACCAATGGATAGTATTAGTGACAAGATGTGAAATGTCTCTTCGCTTTGTCGTCGCTATAATCGCCCCGCAAATGAGACATACGCGAGCTGATTTCACGGTTGTAAAAGGAAATCCACCTCCCATTCATCGTGAAAATGATATTTTTTTTTTGTTTTTCTGCCATTTTTCTTTGAAATCAATAATTGTATTATTGGCATTGCTTCTCCACATATCAACAGACACAAAAAACGCGGGTTCGTGGAAGGTGACATCTGTGTGATATCATAATTGGGAGAGTTTTAATAACCCTTCACATTACTGGGGTCAAATAAAAGTTAGGGTGATCGTTATCATAATAATTAACATAGTGTTTTTCCCAGTTCCCAAATAAGACATAGGTGTGATTTATACAAGAATAACATGATGAAAATGAATTGATGGTCCGCGTCAACCTTCCTGCCGGTCCGCGAAATATATTCCAATCTTATATCTCAATTGCACAATGCAATGCATTGATTGCCTGCCCATTTATTTTGTAAGTTTGATGCGTATACTAAACTTGGTCAGAGGTCCTACGACCATAGTCACCTGAATATAATATTCAGTAAACCATACCGACCATTTTGAGCCTTGAATGGCGGTGGGTTTTGTCAAGTCTATGACGTCATAACGGCGAACATCAGAATGGAGGAGTTCTAGGGCACTATTACTTGCCTTGTTAAATTTTAATCGTTGATCGACCTTCTCCGTCAATATGGGCCTACCACGTTGATGTCTAAGCATAAAGACACGGTTTTGGATATCGTGACCTCAGTGACAAAGTCATTAAGTTACAGATGATTTACGTTCGCTTACGTTAGCTTTTCATCGTTATCAGGACCAAACAATGAAATCGCGTGGAAGTCAACGATCTACTTCGCTTTGCAGAAATTTAAATAAAACCGCGTTTAACACCTATGATATCAAAAATATAGCTGCACATTTTGCATTAAATTTGACTGTCTGCTTCAGAATTGCATACTTTTTTTCGTAATCACATTCGTTTAATTATGTTTGTGTTTTTGACATTATGGGTTGATTTTGACGGTTCACAGGTCCGAAAATTAGGTAGTTAGTTCCTTACGATTATAGGTCGGGTTACTCCGGTGCGGTGAAATTTCTGCATATTTACAGAGTATATAAGAAAATAGGAACTGATCCGAATATGGACTCCAATAGAGATAATAACGCCGCTACCGCAGAACATTTCAATTGATATTTCATTTGCTTGGAATCAAGTTTATGTTCTGATCGAACTAAGGTTCTCTCACAGTCTGCTTCATGGTCGCTCTGGCATATTTATGTACAACATTCTGACACTTGAAAATGTCACCCCAATATCTTTTAAATTCTTCAGTCTGTGGTATATACAAGGTTATCATATCATGCTCATTTCCAAGATTTGTGCTTATTTTCTAGCTTGCGTTTTATAAAGTAACGATGTGCTTATTTCTAAGAAAGGTGCTCATTTTTAAGTTACGTGCTTATTTTCTCTCAGAAACATGGATGGCTCGTTTGTGTTTTGCATACAAATCTTCCATGGAAACAAAGGACGATGTTTATCATTATAAGCAACTTGTATTTGCGCTTTGCTGAGTTATTATTGTGACCTATCCCCATTCCACCGTGACCATAATTGAACTATGCCGTGGCTTCATGTCTCAGACTCAGAAAAGTTGCTGCTAGTTTTTATTTTGATTCAATTGATTGATCCGTACTGTTTTCAAGGACAAACCATAATTTAGACATTGAGTAAGCGTAAGCACGGGTTCCGTTTCGAATATGAAAAGGAATTTGCTAATGTCAAACAAAGTTGAAAGAGTAAGAGCTATGCTCATTGCTGCAATTGTGGCGACGATATCAACCTAGAGGCCATGCGGAAAACAGCATACTACAAAACACAAAAATTTTGCTTTGGATCTGAGTAGATGGAAATTCTGAGGATATATGATGTCGTTGAGCTGTGAATAATGTTACTGCTTTACTGGAAACTTGTATCGATGTTTTTGAATTAACGCATTGGATTTTACTTATACCCACCCTGTTTTTCATTCAAATGTATTGTACATTAACTACCCGCCGATTCCATCTGGTCACTGATAAAGCTTTAAAGTATTTTTCTACCAGAGCATGTCATTGTTAACAACACTAAAGGTCTACAAGTGTAAATTACCTTACATATTATATTACATATTTTGTTGCAATACCTGTAATTATAGGGCGGAAATATTTATCAAAATAGAACCATATGTAACCACAAAAGATATACAATAAGAAATATTCGATATTCGTCTAAATCTGTACTTGACATCGAGGCAAAAGTTGGTGACATCATTTCACGCATTCTGTTATTTTAAATGTACACGAATATCTTATAAATTTTCAAAATCTCAAAAAAAGCGATTCTTTGTTGTCGAAGCAATGGTGGTGTGAAATTTGGAAAATATCTTCCGGAAACCATAAATGCTCGTACGTTTTCGAAAACAAAACAATTATTAGAACGAGTCTGAAGGTTCTCATACATAGGATGAATGAACAAACTTGCCACATTTCCTGTGATTCCTCATTTAGCAAAGTAGACAGTAGGGTATGTATATGTAATTGTTGTTTTAGTGACAATGTCTTTCAACAGCGTTGTTATAAAGCGTCATATGACGCCGTTGTGTTAGTCATACTGTTGCAGTGCGTCACTTGTGCATCAGAGATTGATTAGGTACATTTGATAGTTTAGGACAATGGATAAATGCATTCTAGCAGTGGTCCGCACACGGTTTGTCATATGTGCACGCATGTTCAATCAATCCTTCATCTGTATTTAGTCATTTATCGAATTAAGTTTGTTTCATCATCATGCAAATCATACGTATTTTTTTGTAACCCACAGAGTAGGCTAGTTGTACGTCTAAAAGTTCCGGAAACGTTTTTATACATCGTGATACAGAGAATTAGATCAAGATGACCTGTCCATATTTTTCACCTGCTCGCAAGTAAGTAGAACTTTTTATATGTGATAAGCTTTTTATGCCTAGTTATAATCGATGTATCTGAAACAAATAATACTTACCTTAGAAAAGGTTAATTTTTGTAATAAAGTTTTAGAAATAGCTTTTATCATCGAATGACACCATCATATTTTTTTTCAATACGCTGATCCTACTTCCATGCATTTTTAAGAGGCGAAAGACGACCTTCTTTGCTGGAAAGAGTGGAAGCTCAAGAAGGGTACTTATCCATCCACGAAGAAAGCGATATGAATTATGGAAAATACTTGGGAGTAAGTTAAGCCATGAATCAACATAATAGCTAATAGTAAACACTTCCTTGTACAACTCAAACAATTTTGTTAATATTAGACTACATGCATGAAACAACAAAATATAGAGTATTTTAAGTATTGATAGCCTAGAATATGTCATATCATATTCTCTGACGTAATCAATATAGTAGACGGTTTGTTATTTGAAACGATCGTACGTTTTTTTATATAATCTTAGTTGGACAAGTTGCTCAGCAGCCAAGAATTGAGAAGCGGATCCACTGGATTAACTCCCATACATGATGAACACCTATTTATTATTGTACATCAAAGTGAGTCTATCTAATTTTAGTATATTACGATATTTCCATAGAGTTTAACCATATAAAATATCTTTTCACAAGAATTTAGTCGGAATGGTCGGTAGTTCAATTCTTGAAAGCACACATTTTCAGCGGTCTGGCAATGGCATGCCATAACGCTATATAAACTTGTCTTCATAATTCATAGGCTATCACCATACAGTTTTTAAACTTTTCAAAAAAAAAAATGTTTTTTTTTAATAATCTTGAAATGGGATATGATTATTATTATTTTCTCAGCTTTTGAACTGTGGTTCAAACAAATGTTACACGAAATCAACTCAGTTCGAACAATTTTCATGTCCGAATATCTAGAAGAACGAAACAGTTTAACAGTTATTTCAAGAATAAATAGAGTAATCGCTATTCTGAAGGTGATCACTTAATTTGAATAAGTTTATATTTTGAAATTCTATTCTTTGTTATTCCTATTTGTATATATGCAGTCATAAATTATTATTACTACGTGTAGCATATTGTGCCCCAATTATACATTTTTGACACACACATGTTGACAAACTGCTCTGTTTTATGCACATAATAAGTAAAATGCTTTCAGCAATTCAATAATGTAAAAATGCAATACGTGTGGTAGTTGTTGTAAACATGTAACACGTTAAGTATATATTTGCCTAAACTCTTTACAACATTATTTCTTGTAGCTTTGTACAGAACAGTTTACAATACTTGAAACAATGACTCCGCAAGATTTTCTTGACTTCAGGTAGGCAAGCCACAGGTATTTCTTAAAATGAATATTTCTACATGATACACAAGTGTTAGTGTCTACACAATAAATATAGTATTCGGAATAATGTTTGATACATTTAGTCATGTGCATTGTGATTGATAGAACCGTTAATAATGCGTCAAATGTCAATATTGGTATTTTGTAAATACATATTTCGGAACAACTTCTTCATGAAGCTAAAATATTGAGTTCTCTATTTCTGTAAAAATTATAACAATATTGTATTTGAATTAGGTAATATGCATCATGTATTATAAAAATGTATATAATCATATATGTAATGCATATTTGACTTGAACGACTGCACATAAGCATTTTTCTTTCTGATATGCATTTTTTTCACTTTCTTGGGTAATAGAGATATCACTCTATCATCAAATCATAAAGCTATTATTTATGTTACAGGGACTTCTTGGAGGGAGGATCCGGTTTTCAAAGTTTTCAATTTCGCATGCTCGAAATTCGTCTTGGAGTAAAAAATGTTAGTAATTTAGCCTTTTCTAAACAATCACTTCTAATGTTACTTTTCCGAACAAAATAGACTTGCAGGATAAATTATATTCGTTTTATTATATGTTCTGGAAATCAATATATACATGATCGATTGTGATTCTTTCATAGATCCCCGTCATAAATCGCGATTTATCCATGGCTTGTATATGGTAAATATCGATGAATGATTTGGTATAGACGTTTAGTCTAGTAACGGCACGTTTAGTTGCACGTTTGCTATTCAAACAAGACAAATTTAATTCAGTACGTAGTTAAACTGCATGTTAAACTTGTAGTATCGAGTGGGTGTGTTGTTTTTCTGCCCTACAATTGGCTGAGTCTGGCAACGCCTATATATTGAACCTCATGTTGTAATCAACCAAGGGTCTGACTCACAAGATTTTTTTACTGAAAGTGCGTCAATGTACCAATACCAATCCCAATTGCTGAATTATGGACTCAATGTTTCCGGTTCTGTATTATTAGCCAGAAGCACAACTAACATAATGAAACGAAACCTTTTTTAAGTCTTGTTTTGCGTATCAGGCGGTTGTAAGATTTTCTTGAAAATCCTCAAACGCATGATTCAAAGTTACACAGTCACCAATCATTGCCAACGCTACAAAAAGTGTGTTCGCTACGTAAACATGAAAAATCCAGAATTTTATCCTTATGTATAATCATGTTATAGTTTATCTCCGAACTTAAATACTTTGTTTTAGGAACTCCGAGTGGCGTACAATAGAAATCATTTTCTTGAAGTATTTTTCGGAGATGAACGCAAATCACTTGAAACCGCGATGAAAGAGCCTTCTCTGCTTGATCTTGTAAATTATTGGCTAGAAAGAACACCTGGACTGAAAAGACAAACATTTGATTTTTGGAAAAAATTTAGATGCAGTGTGGAAGCTATGCTTGATGAAATGAAAGCAGTGGCTGAGGTATAGAGTTTTTGCTTATTGTCAACTCAATTAGTAATTTTTATAAACAAAATGGGTTCTCCTATATCAATTTCCCCAACGACAAATTATGTTTAAAATAAATCATGTTTGAAAATTTTATGCGACTCAGCGTGATAACGCATCTATAACGATTGGTAATTCCACAATTTGGAAGGTTCTAGCTAGCCAATTGCTGAAACGGAAATTGATTGATCAGTACTGGCGGGAATGGCTTTGAAAATGTTCTAAATGCTATTACAATACCTGGATTTCTGGAATCGTCATATTCTGGGAATGATACCGTTGTTTTTCTTCACCAAAGGGCTATGATGGAGTAACATGAATTGCTGGAAAATAAATGTGAAATACTAACGATAAAAATGATAATTAAACTTGGTTGTTCACTTGGAAATTTCAGCTGGGAATAAACTGTCTTCGGTAGAGTCCAATTAAAGTGTTTAGCATACAACATATAATATTTGTGCATAATGATTTGATAGTCAAATGCTATGGTTACGTTAGACTGAAAATTGTTGGAAAATCTTTCAGGATGAGAGTGACCTACAAAAGAAAGAAAATTTAATGTGGGAATATAAAAGAAAAGCTAAAAATTTCAGCACAATCTTCGACGAAAACCTTCATAATGATTTGCTGAAAAAAGATGAAAGAAGATTCACGTATCATGCTTTACAGGTGATTCGATTATAGCGTAGTGTTATTGCCTGTTTTTTTTATCGAATGCAGAATTTTTTCAGCAGTATGATAGATCATTTATTTTATTCAGACATTGAATTCTACAAAAATCTTCAAATAAAAAAAAACTATGTTATATAGACTAAGCAGCGGTTCCCAACCTTTCTATCCTCGCGGACCGGTAAAATTAAATTAAATTTACTCGCGGACCTGCAAAAAATTGAAATGACCGGAACAGAAAAGAATAACACATATTTGCGTAATACAATTCAATGTCGGGCACTCAATATGCTTCTAGACACCAATTAACTCTTCTTTGAGGATTTCGCTGCTGTTTCGTTTCCAATATAGGATTGCAGACGAGGCCTTCTGCAACCCGGAACTCTGCAGCGGCGTGCAGCCGATTTCTTTGCTTCGTTTTGATTAAAGCTAGTGAGAAAAATGTTTTTTCGCATAACGCAGTAACGGATAACAGTTTAATTGCTCTATTACTTAGCGATGGGTATTCGTTATCAAAAGATATCCAAAATTGCGACAGTGATACTTTTTTAAATCTGAACTATAAAGTAGAATCACAATTTTAATCAAGCTTTTTTCTTTTTCATCGGGTTCAGCATATCAATCCCCCTGCAGTTGATCGACGGCTCAATTAATATGAATTTACATTAGAATGACAAAGTCGTCAGCAACTTGGCACCGAGCTCAATATCTCGCTGTGTCTGCTCAAAATACTGGAAAAGATCTCTGCGGCTCATGCTTTTTTGCGCGTCTCGTGGCTACCTGCAGGGTCGCAACTAGTTCATATCTTACTGAATAGTATACTGTTTTTTAATGTTTCTGGTTTAAACAAAGAAATATGCATAAAGTTTTATATGGATGGTCATATTAATCAGGAAAAGCACGCGGCCGTTTGTCTTGCGAGATTTGATGGAGAGCATTCGCGATGAATCGGAGCCGGAAAAGCGATAAGTGTGATTACTTGGCGCCAAGATTCCGCGAAAGACGTCGCACTATGACGATAGAAGAGAAATTGCGTAATAAACCAACGCAATCTCCGTCTTCGATGAAACGATTGAGACGGCATAAAAATAACGAAATTTTTCGCGGACCGGCAAAAAAGCTTCGCGGTCCGGCAGCGGTCCGCGAACCGGCGGTTGGGAACCACTGGACTAAAGCGTAGTCGACTTTCCTGTTTCATCTGTTGGTTCAGGTGTTGTTTACTTTGGGAAACAATGCGACAAAATCACGCAACAGTCATTTTCTGACTCTTGCACAACATACGAAGCATTCGTGACCTCTTCACCGTCGAAAAAACAACAAACCTCTCGCCGCAGACAGAATTGTTGTATACTCAAGCTACATTGTTATAATACAAAACCGCTTGTCTACATGCTTTATAGATACATTATTTTCATACTTGACACATTTTTGATAAACATTGTTTGTTCTCGTTTCAGGGGGCGTTGATGATTTTTTTCTACCGTGACGAACCAAGGTTTCATCTACCGTTTCAACTGCTTCATTCTTTAATGGATGTTGATAACTATTTGATGAAATTCAGATGTAAGATGTTCATTCGTCAGTTTTCAATACTAACAAATCAAGCACGATACAAATGACATTAATGTGACGAAATTAATATTAAAAAAATAATGTAAATTACAGATAACCACGCATGTATGGTGCAGCGTATGGTCGGAAGCAAGGTTGGAACTGGGGGATCATCTGGATATCAATACTTAAGATCAACCTGCAGGTTTGTTTATGCAGTGTAGCGCAATGCGATTACCTAGAATCGTTACTACATGGTTACTCTTCATCAACACTCGATTCTTAGTGAATTGACCTCGTAAATATAAACATAGACTTCGGTTTTTCATATGAGATCTTTTATATTTCATGAACCTTTTCTCTTAAATAAAGACTGCAAAGATATCACACACAGTCACCTGCACTAGAGTTATTTTGTCTTCGATGTCTTTCATCGGAGTAATTCGAACGGTATTATATTTGTATTCATGTTGCGCCAGGCGTATGTGAAAACACCCCAAATTTCCAAAAAGATGAACTGTGATATTTCATATTATCTTTTCCTTTATTAGTGATCGTTTATAAAATCTTCCTCGATCTTCTGAATATGGCACGTATCTCGTTCCACGTGACCGAATTCCACCACTGACATCACAGATGAAAAGGAGTCTGTCTGTACCACGATGCTGACTTCTTGCAGCTTCCACTCACTGGTTTATACGAGGAACGTGATTCTGGGATGTCAACCTGAAACGGGAGCGTCTACAGTTATCCAGATATTGCAGAAGAAGATGCTGATTCCGAAGTGGGAGCCAAGTTGAAACCAACAAAGGCAGATATGAGACCGTTTGTGTAGCAGAAACTGTTGCCTGCCCCTTTTAATTATGATTATGTTTATCTCAATAAGGTTATGCTCAATTTGACTTCATCAAGTTCGAAATAGTTTACACTTTACACTGTAAAAATTATTACAAAAAAAGTATACTGGTATAACTCCAAATGTTAAAATATTGATTAAATGTGTAATCCTGCTTAGCACAAGAAGTCATCGGCCATAAGATTGTAAGAACTACATGCGATCAGGGGCACATTGAGAGTTATATCAATAAATGTTATTGCGACGGATACGTAAGTGAAATTCTGTGAACGTGGGATATGAAATACGTAAAAGAAATATGTTAAAAATTTAATTGTACCTAAAAAAATTCAAAAGCTCAAAATATTCCAAAAATTAAAGATATAGCTGACGAGCGAAATAAATCTTTTATCGAGCGAACAGGTGTGAGCCGTTAGATTAAGTGAAAACCCCACTATGGCGCAAGCTAATATGGGAACCTATCATATAAGCGCCAATGTACATATTTGTTTGGTGGGTGCATGGTCGTACATTTGAAGTTGTCAGTGCTTTGCACAAGTGAGGATACGTCGGATACATATCTACGATATCACAATAAAAAGTCCCGGATTTTAAAGATCTTTTCTCAGCTACAAATTATTCGTTGATTGATGATAAAAAGTAGTTACAAACCGAATATAAAAATTCTTATTCATATATATGCCAATATGCTGGCATGTTTGTATTTTTATGTGTGTGTTCAGCCATTTTATGTTTTTTGTATTATGGAGGAAATGTCTAATTTAGTTTGGTATTTCCCAATTTACGAGTAAAATTGTTATTTTCAATATAATAATTATTTTGTACATATGCAATAAAACACTCAACTTCTTCCTAAATCTACAATCATTGTATTTCATTTTGTAAAGATATCAATGTGGTGATTTTCAAATAAAGTGCAAACATTGGATTTATGAGTGACTTTTTGTATCGATTGCATTAACTTTAGGTCATATACATCTGTAATTGCACCGATTAGAATCGTGTTGGGCACGTTAGTGGACCTATTGATCGTTTCAATATTATGTTGTTGTTTTTGTTCTTTGGCACGTTATGAAAAAGTCGCTTTTCACTTTGAGTACTGGACCAATTGCTTTGAAATTTTCATTGGTAAAGATTGATATTTTTGCCAGAAGGCTATTACTTTAATTTTTATTATTGGACACGAAGTGGACCTATGGATCGTTTTACTTTTTTTTGAACACTTAGGGGAAAACCTGAAAAGTCGCTTTTATGCTGGCACTCTTCTTCTTGTTTTCTTGATCACGTGCTCTTCGAACGTCGGTGATGTCACCAGTGGGTCGCGACCCATAGTTTGGGAACCGCTGGCTGAGAATGTTTAGGTTTTCGACTTTGCTTTACCGTCGGTAGATGTCCATTTTAGGTTCATTGATTAGTAAACTTCTTATTTACTTGGTTTAATGGTAATCAAGCAAGTTTGTCCTACAGATGTAGACTTGTAGAACTGGATTGATCATTTTGGAATAAATTTAACGCATTGCAAGTGGCAATCATATTAGACAAAGGAATTTAGGAATACAGCCAGCACCATAGTCTACGGGCCGGCCATCTCGGTCGGGACGTATTTGTCGCCTTCAAGAATAAACAGGTTAAAGGGCGTCACTTACACTGGGCATCCATTATGCGTAAGTAAGACACACAAAGAACATCTCATATGAAAAAACATGTTCATGTCAAATCATGTACAAAACACAATAAACTCTAGTAAGAATTTTGCTGCTTTGAAGGAGGATTTACATATTTATCTCGGGGGGGGGGGGAGGAAAACCGATAACATGGCTTAACCATATGGCGAACCACGGCCTTTCGCCCGGTTACCAGTGTATGTCGGGTATGGGACTAGGTAATTACTTGTTTTTCGGAAGCATGGACTTGATGGTGGAGAAAGCCGCAACTGAACAGCGGTTACGTGAACCACTCTACGGCGGCGAGGAGTCCAGCCATCCTGCGAACCCACGCCCACCCAGTTTGATTGCTCGATTACCTAGCGATGGGTATTCGTTATCAAGAGATATCTAGAATAGTGACAGTGATTCTCTTTTAAATCTGGACTGTAAAGTAGAATCACAATTTTAATCAAGCTTTTTCTTTTTCATCGTCAGTAACTTGGCACCAGGCTCAAAATCCTACTGTGTCTGCTCAAAATACTGGAAAAGATCTCTGCGGCCCATGCTTTTTTGCGCGTTTCGTGATGATCACCTATAGGGACGCAACAAGTTCATATCTTGCTGGAATATTATACTGTTCGTGACTGTTTTCTGGTTTAAACAAAGAAATATGCACAACGTTTTATAGGAATGGTCATATTAATCAGGAAAAGCACACGTGCCGTTTTCAGGTTTCTGAATCTTGCGAGATTTGATGAAGCGCATTCGCGATGAATCGGAGCCAAAAAAGTGTGACTACTCGGCGCCAATATGTCGCGAAAGACGTCGCGAAATATGACGGTGGAAGAGAAATTGCGTAATAAACCAACGCAACCGCATAAAAACAAAAACTATTTTGCGCACCGGCGGTTAGAAACCACTGATATAGAATACAATGAATTTTGGCTGCAATATAGCTAACAATTTTTTATATTGTATTTGATCCGTTCAAATTCGTTGATATTTTGATACAAAAATATATGAAATCTCAAGCGCAGGTAGATTTGATTTTCATTCATAAAATCACAGAGAAAACAAGAGAGCAATGCTCAAATATATGGACACGTTATTCAGAGAGAAGCAGTCCTTACCATTGATGCTACCGGTACCTACGGCACTGTATGCCATTCCCCGTTAAGAAAGAAAGAACTTCGTTACACATCACTAGAGATGGCGGAATCGAGTACAGAATCGATTATTTGCGGAATCGATTCCGATGCACTGGAATCGATTCTCGAGGTTAAAACTTAGATTGCAAACAATGTGTAACGTTTTGTGGCAATTCCTTCACATATATGTATAAACTGCTTTACTGTTATGTTAAGTTGCTACGACGCCGCAAACTTCACTATATACATATCTTCGCTAGGCTTTTACGTTTATTTATTTCTAAAATCTCTGTGGGTTCTGAGGTATTCGTTTTTTCTGTGCGATTTTGACTCTTTCGACAGATTGGATACACAAACTACTTAGTTTTGGCCTTCTTGTCCGTCCAGATATTTAAAGATCGCTCTGTTGTTTATTTTCATATGGTAGTGCTTAGGTGGGTACGTTTTCTTGGTAATATGTCGTGGAATCGATATTCAGAATCGAAAATTTAGGAATCGGATAAGCATCGAATACTTATAAGTAATCATACTTAGCATCCTTAACGGGCAGTACGAATTGAAAAAAAAAATTCAAAAGTCTCACAAACTCTAATCTTATTTTACTTCATACAATACCTTATAATTCACATCAATGACCACCCATCTGACTATTGAGGCAGACTGAAAGAAACATTACTGTACATGGGGTAAAATAATGCATTTTACCACGGCGGTATGTTTATGACAATTAATATTTATGTTCACATTACAATTTCATATCAACTCCGGTTAATTATGTGATTTAAGAAAATTATGCGCTTCATAAAGGTTTAATTACGTGAAGGCCATGCTACGTCATAGCCTCCGGCTAAATGCGCAGACATAAACGAGAAGGTACACGTGAGTGATAATCAGGTGGACTGAGCAGATACGTATGAGGTTTAATACAAAAGCGGATATAAAACAAGGAGTCGATTAAATCGCGTATCTTGTGTCTGAAGGTTGAAAAGACCGCAATTTAGAATAAGGACTGTAGTATAAAGGTCTTTATATATACCTTGAAAAGAATCAGAATTAGTCTGGAAATGCTTCAAATGTAGTCAAAAGTTTTATCTTTGCTCAGCATAGATACAGCGATTTTATAAAATCCATTAGATATATCAGAAGTTCAACCAAACGTTGTACGGTTGTGTTGGATAACCGCGGACATTCAACGTTTTCGGGCGAAAATTCTGAAATGGCGGTTTCTAGAAGAATACTTGTCATATTCATTGTAACTGCTTTTACAAGAGCTGAGGACTTGGAAGAAGTGAGTCCACGTAAATTACTCAAAATATTTGAATTAACTAGGAAACAATTTTGAAAGCATATTATTAAAAACTTGTTAAAAGATAAACACTTAAATTTATTACTGACCTAATGCATAGATTTCCATGATGTAATATCGACGACATTTCAAATTTTCGCTTTCTGCTGAAAATCAACTACTAAAAGAACTGCTGGATGCTACATAAATTCACTTATCCCGTTATTACAATTTGCATTTTTGTGAATCTAATAATCCAAATGTGATTAGACCAGGTGGGAAAATAGTGACCCGTGACGGATTTTTGTTAGGCCGCAAAGGCTTTAAGTGAACGATTGAAAATACTGGAATTTGATAAAAATCAAATTACTACAAAACCTGTAAAGATATATATATAGTGGTGGTTTCCAGCCAATTGCAATTTTTATAATCTAAAAACTTTATTCATGGTACATCTTACAAGTTAAAAAGCGGGAATTGAAGAATTTTCAAGAAAATACATTGGTTGACTTCTATAGGTCCCTTTCTGCTGAAAATTGACCATTCATTCAACTAAAATCTAGATGCTTCCAGAAATATATCACCTTGTAGGTTTTGATGAGGATATATCATCAAGAAATATCACTACCAGTTTCAAAACATATGTAAAAGAAATAGGTTGCATTTTCTTCATTGGTGGAATTTAGATAAAAGTGCTTGTATTTTAGATAAAATAAACTGATGTGATAATTGTGCTCCGAATCTTTATTACATTCGACTACTCTCATAGTGGATTTGTATATACTGTATTCGTACAATTTTTTTCAGGTATTGCGAGATGAAGCAAAAGTGAAAAGCTCAGTATCTCCTAGATTAGCCGGAGCTAGAGCACCTCCTGTACCACCAAGATATTGGTCGGGTACGTCGTCAATGAGTTGACTTTTACCTTGAGTTTGACTTTTAACTTGTCCCCTTCTAGAGATTGATGCCGTATAGCCATTTCGCGATATTTTGCATGATTTGGACGCTTTGAATTCGACTCATTCGAAATTCTCCGTCTTTGTTGTTAACAGCGTTCGATAAATAAATTCGGACCTCCAGAAGTATGTGCACTAAGATGGCGCACAACCTGAACATAGTATGTGTACCCGGTTAGGGTTCAGGTTGTGTGCCATCTTGGTGCACATACTTCGGGAGCGCCATAAATTCGAATAAAATCTTTCATGGTTTTGATGCGCTCAACTTGGTACATTCTAAAGTCGGACAAACTTATAAACAAACCAAAAAATTCTGGAAGAAGCGTAAACTATGCGGACAATTCTAAAATAATTTTAGTATCAACTTTCAATCATACCTGGGGTCCTCTTGCTCCTACATTATCAACATGCTGAATTGTTTTATAATTTCAGCTGAAGTCGGCGATTGTGAAGACAACCCTGGATTCGCAGAAGACTGCTCAATTTGGGCCAAACGTGGTTTTTGCACTGACACAACTATAGGAAAACGTTATCCAGAATGGATGAAAAAGAACTGCATGGTCAGCTGTGGCTACTGCGAAAAAGAACGGAAAACTAACTTTTTGAAAATCGGAGCAAAGACCATTGCACTGTTACTATATTACGCATGGATTTTAAACATTCTACCCATGTCAAGGCCGAGAACAATTTCTATTATGTTCCAACCTCATAAGAGGGTTGCATTGTCAGGACTATTTATAATACCCGCAATTTTAGTTTACTTTATTTAACAAAATATAATATATTTCATAATATGCTAAATATATTTTCCAAACATTATACGCACCATAAAAACCTCAACTGATTTTAGTGAGCGATGTAATCCCATTGATGAAAATATTTTTCTGAAACACTAGCAGAATAGATTATCTGTGGCATTTACTGTGACAGGCATTTCAATAATGCATTTTTATAGCTAAACCACTCAGTTATGATGATTTTCTTTTACGTGATCATCTATAGTTTCCTGAGATAAATAAATACCATGTACTCGTCATAAATAATCCCATATTGTGTTAACTTAAGAGTATCAACATGAGTTGAGGTAAAAAAAAAATATATATATATAAAAGGTATCAAGAAAACAACCCAAAATAGTTGTGTCTAGATATAGGAAATATTTGTTTCCCACCTAACTATGCGATAGAATCACGTATAAACAATGCCCAGCCATTGAAAGAATGATGGTATAAACTTATGCCAGTTACAAAACGATTACGACAAGATAAATTGCACATTGTCTAACGGTTCTAACCTCTCTCGAAGAAGACAGTGTTACGTCAAATTCTGACAATTCACATCGTCCGTTAACGTTGTTAGTCTGTCCTCATATGTTTCTTCAACTCTTGACCTTTATTCTTTAATTTGATTGCTCAAGCAGACAAAAACGATTGCTTTGCTATAGGATTGGTGTGGAAATCACGTTTCCTAACAATTTTCGTGCCAGGTTGTGGCATTTGAAAGTGTTCCAGCAGGCATATATATCTAAGGTATATATATAGGATTAAAACTGAACTACGCCTCTATTATATTTTCTTATTCATTGTAACATTAAAATCGAAGAAAACCCAATAGAAATAATAACAATTTACTTTCAACTTTTCTGCGGCAAACAATCACGCGAAAAATGTTCACATTTTTGTCATGATTTTTTAAGCCTCGTTGCCATAGTTGCATGCAAAGAAAATATTATGGTAGGAGTTCCATATTGATCCCCGGAGAGAGAAGGTCGATAAGGCGGCTTAATCATATGATCAAAGTGATTCCAGGAAAAAAAAAAACATGTAATTAATGTGGAAATCTCCCACCTTATTCTTTTGAGTAGCCTGCATAAGTTAAAATTCACCGGTGTCCACCAGCTTTATATAGCATAATAGCGTACATGACAAGTATATGACCAGGTTAAGTTTGAAACAACTAGGATCTGTGGAACAAACAGTAGTGTAGACGAGCTTTACCAAATCGATGAAAGCAAGGTCAAAAATGGGTAAGTTTGATTCAATCATTATAATTGTGAGAAAAGCAGGTCAATTGCCAGACAAGCACAACAGTCAGTCAGTCAGTAGTTTATTTTATCACAAACCGAATGTAAACATTGACGAACAAAATTGAAAAAAATGAAAAATTACATTTCAGTGTGAAGGGAGACGCGATAAACCAGAGAAGGTTGTCGAGCAGCGTCACCTTTGAGGCAGTAAGTCTAATATTAAATCATAATGAGTGTGGGATAAGTACGCGCAGGGTACGGTACCTAATGTGTCCCACTGCGACTCAAAGATACAGGGTAACTGGAGACGCGTCCTGTCCCTTGGGTCCTCAAATAACGTCTTCAATCTATGCACCAACTGACCAACACACACTGCAACCTGTACACCATTAATTCCGTAGACTTGTGTTGAAAGAAACTTTATTATCTTGTTTAAACACATCTAATGTCGACGTCAGTGATAACAGTGTTAGGGTTAGTGTCGGCGTTAGTGTTAGTGATAAATTGACTGTTTTTGACAAGGACTCAAAGAACAGCCATAAGTATGCTATAATACAAATAAAAAACAATAAGTGACAGACGTATTCGATACAACAAAAAATACAGCAATCCTCACAACCTATCGGACAATATATGGATAAACATAATCATTTCAATTCTAGAATTCCTACCTGATAATCATTTAGTAATATAACCAAAAAATAGTAAAACCTATAAGCTATAATTTCTGCAGTCGCGCAGAATCCTCCCTAATAAGCAAAGCGCAACAAGCGTCTACCTCGTGGCAAGAAGTGACTTATTACGTCACAGTAAAGCTGGGCAATGTAAATCATAAAGCGTGACTAACTAACGGTGCTTAAAGTGAAGGACTGTAAGGTTCCATAAAATGCATGCAAACATTTCTTACATACCGGCCCCGAAAATTATATGAAATGTTATATCGATAACAAGGAAAATGATTTTCAAAAAACCAGAAAGGTTTGCTTGACTTCCAAAAACAATTGAAAGGATAAACACAGTAACAAATCAATAAAGATAACGAAATTGTCAATGCAAGACCCCGAAAATAAAAGGGGGGGTAAAACCAAAAAATTATCTCCCTCAAAAAAGAATTCAAAATAGACACCTAATACTCCCATAGTGAGAATGTATGTTATGTATGTGTAACTGTGTATGTGTGGTGTGGATGCTATTGCTATATATGTAATGTGTAAATGTATCAAACAGCTTCTAGTAGACAAAGCTTCCTTATGTCACGCACATATGTTGAATTGGATGTGCGCACCTTCACTCGTCTGACAACCCCTTGATTATCAGGGTATGTTTCTTCTACAATTGCCTTGGGCCAACATCCTCTTGGTGAATTGTCTTCGTACATCAGCACAAGATCTCCAACTCGAAAGTTGCGTTGAACATTGAGCCACTTCTGTCGGCACTGTAATCGAGGAAGATATTCTTTTGTCCAACGCTGCCAAAATAAATCGAGTAATCGTTGAACATGTCTGTATCCTCTTCTATATTCATCCGTTCGAAAGAACACATCAGGTGGTAAAGACGGTTCTAATCTGTTTATCAAAATTGAGTTGGGAGAAAGGGCATTCAAGTCCTTCGGATCATCACTCAGTGGTGTGAGTGGTCTATCGTTGAGAATTCCCTCCACTCCTGTAAGAAGAGACCATAATGAGTAATCATTGAGAGACTGCCATTCAATAGAGCTCGAAGAATTCTTGTCCACCTCTCTTACCAGTGCTTTCCCACCATTCCATTTTTGGTGACTAGAAAGAGGAGCGCGAAAAATGCCAATTGCTATACCCTTTTGAAGATAGAATTGTGGCAATCAGTTTTGGAATTCCATTTGTTAATTAAACCCATCTGCAATAGCTTCTTCCAGCCACCTAAGTTGGATCCATTGTCTGAATATACATGAGCAGGTTTTCCCAGTCTAGATGTAAACCTTAAGAAAGCTTGCAGGAATGCTGAAGTATCCAAGGATTCTACAACTTCAATATGTATTGCTCTGTTAGCCATGCATGAAAATATACAGCCATTATCGTTTATGTTCGCTTTCTCCCAATTTTGACTTTCGACAGGCCAATACAGATCAACTGCAGTGTAGAAAAATGGATGGGTTTACCTGCAGTTAACACGAGAAAATTGGTAGATCTGCCATCCACTGCTCTTTCCTACTTTTGCAGAACGTCTTGTTGCAAAGCAACACCAGTTCACGAACAACCTTAGCAACAGCCAGATTGTCCCTTTCAAAATCCAATATTTGCCACGAACAGAGGAAAGTGTGTGTATGTACCAGAATGTCCAGTCCCTTCATTGATGTTTGGTAATAATCAGTTTTGTCACATGGATGGTATGGTGGAAGAATAATCGGATGCTTTCTGAGTCAACTGGTAATAAGCCAAGAGTTTCGAAGTCCGCTCCACCTACACGCAGGATTCCATCTTGGTACAAAAGGGTTGCATTTGAGAAAGCCTTGTTTTCGAAAAATTGTGTTTTGAGTTCTCTTTTGTTCTGTAGATTCAACGGTACTTCCTCAGCATCTGTATTATCTTCAAAATATTTGAGCTCCTCTGAGAGGGATGATTGTTGTACTAGTTTCATAATTTCTTTGGTGGCGCAATCTAATTCCTCCACAGATAAAAATCCCAAAGTTGGTGAATTGTCAGAATGTGAGAATTTCCAAGTTGCATATGTAGTAGCCATGCAACAGCTCTACGTAGCTTTTCGAATAATGAGTAACGCAATAACAGTTCATGTAATGGAGAAGAATCTGCGAGATCTTCATAGGTTCAGTATAATGAACTTTCATCTCCGAACAAGTTGTGGGTCGCATGGGACTTCATGAATCCCATCATTAACCACGGTCCATGCATCTTCACTTCCCCATATAAATTGTGGGCCTTTGAACCAAATACCAGCCTTGTTTAGTTTATCTGGCATTAGACCACGAGAAGCAATGTCAGCTGGATTCAGCTTAGATTCGACATGGTGCCATTGATGTGGTTTTGACAAGAGATGAATTGTGTTTATTCTGTTGGCCACAAATGTCTTGAAGCGTTCAGAACGATTATTGATCATCTGGATAACTGACATGGAATCTGACCAATATATAACGCTGTCAACTGTATAGTCCAGTTCTTGTAAAATTGAATTGGCAAGTTCAGCAGCCACAACTGCAGCGTTAGTTCCATCGTGGAATAGTCAGTGGCTGCTTAGGAGTTACTCTAGCGACTCCCCTGACAAAGGAACAATGAACTTCACCTTTGTCGCCAGTAAGTCGTAAGTAAGCTGATGCTCCATAGCCAGATGTGCTGGCATCACAAAAACAATGTAATTGGATATTGTTGCTTTTGAACTCTTGTGGTTTGTAACATCGAGGGATCGCCAGGCCATTCAATGCATGTAATTTATCGATCCATTTTTCCCAACGGTCCTTTAGTAAACCAGTAATGGGGTCATCCCATGAGTATCCTTCGATACAAAGATCCTGTAGAATTCGCTTGGCAGGTAAGATGAATGGTTGAACGAAACCCAAAGGATCGAAGATTTGACTCACCATTGAAAGAATGCCTCTTCGAGTGAGCGCCTTTGGTTCAATGTTGACATATACTACAAATTCATCAGTGTGCATGTTCCACTGAACACCTAGGGTTCGACTGAGTGAATTACTTTCAAGATTGAGGTCTTTAATTGCAGGAGCACGTCACTTTCTGGAACTGATTGCAGAACATTGATATCATTGCTCAAATTTGGTGAGGTGAAATCCTCCAGTTGCCAACAATTCAGTGAGCTGTTTGATTAGTCTTACAGCATCTGATGGATCATCGACAGATTTCAGTCCATCATCGACATAAAAATTGCGCATAACGGTGCGTACTGTCATCATCTGCATTCGACAGATTGTCTGTGGCTACTTTGTGTAGCGCAAATGTGGCAACAGAAGGTGATGAAGTGTTCCCAAAGTTGTGGGACAACATTTTAAAGTCAATGGGAACACTATCCAAATTATGGTCTTCCACCATAGGAACCGCTGAGCATCTGTGTCTCAGGTGAACTTTAATTCTGTGGAACATTTCTTTTATGTCACAAACAAATGCAGTCAATTCTTGCCTGAATCGAATGAGCACTCCTGTTAGCATGTTGTTGTTGTCAGGACCAGAAAGCAAATTTTTATTCAATGAAGTTCCTTTACACTCAGCAGAACTGTCAAAAACAACTCTAAATTTAGATTGGTGTGTGGCATGATGTGGAATGTACCATGTTTTATTTGTGGGTGTGAGTGCATGTGATGGGATTACTTCGGCGTAACCATTCTGAATATAACCCTCAATTTTATCTCTATATTTCTGAAATAATTCAGGGTCCCCCATGAATTTACGTTTCAAATACACTAGTCGCTTCTCAGCGATATTACGGTTATAGGGAAGGCTAACAGTGTCTGACTTCCATGGAAGTCCAATTTGAAACCGACCATCAACCTTGGTCACAGTTTGGTTCATAAAATCAAGTGCCCTTCTATCATCTTGGGATGGCTGAGTAATACATGGGTTAGCATTGACATCAGCAAAATCATGAGCACACATATGACAAATAGGTTCATTAA